CCCTGTGAGCACATTGGGAGACCCCAGCCATAGCTGATGAGAATGCTTCCTGAGGGGTGGGCTCCTCCCTCAGGCTTTCCCCTGCAAGCGCACATGACGTAAAGTCCTGCTGAGGTATCCTGGATGTCAAGATCATTTTCTCAAAATAGCAGGAACATGCTGTCCTTCCCCTGGAGCCACTCTTGATCCAGGTCTCAAATATCTTTGCACCTGTTTGAAAAGCAGTATCACTTACCAGTAGTGTCATTCAGTGTGTGCATGTGAGGCACTGGGATTACTTTCCCTCTGCAGTTTGGTTGTAAGAAAAGTTATCTGAAAATGTAAGCTTGATTTCTTTTTTCTCCCATGAGGAGACCACCCCTGTGCTGGTAGCATCAAGCAGAGTTCTGGGATGCAGAAGCCAATCATAGTGCTTGTTCTATAGTTTTGGTTGTTCATGGCAATTCTTCTTTTCTTGTATTAAGAATCCCAAATGTATTTTTAGGTTAATTTTTGAAAATGTTGGAGAACCTATGGTCAATTTATATGTAGTCTGAATGTCTTAATTCATGATCAGTTGGATGTTTCCTTGCCTTGATGTTGGTGTCCTTTGTGCTTGCCACTGATTTGCTTTCTTCTCCTGGCAATTCTGTTTTCTTAGTGATTGTAATAGATGTAACATTTTTCTCTAAGTCTGTAGATTGTAGGAGAACCTGAGAGTAACTTTTAAAAAAAATCATTACATAGCTTTTATTTGATATTACATGTAAACCACACTAAAATAACTTTTAATAAGTAAAAGACACCCTTTTTAGATACAGAGAATTCTAATTAGATTGACATAGTTAAGACCAAAAATTTAAAATAGACGTTGCTACTTTATCTTCAGTTCTTGCTTTTAAAAGGCCAGTGAACAAAAAACAGGGGAGTGTTGCTTGGTTCTGACACAGTGAAGGGACTTCCCCAGTATTTAAGTGTATTCATATAACCAGTTATATAAGTCAAATATAAAACCAATCTCCAGTACATTTTAAGGTGGCATTCATCATCTTTGTGAAAAGTTGAACATTACTAATGAAGTACAATTTTGTCTTTAGAAGGGGAAAGCAGTGATAGCATTTACTAAGTTGGAATTACTATCAAAGTTTTAAAAACTGATCTTATTCACTTAACCACAAGCCAATCTTAGTTAAATCAGGACTGTCCAACAAAAATATTCTGTCAGCCACTCATGATACGAATTCTGGTATGTGAGATCAATTAAATTATGGTATACATAAAAAAGTCATGAGACATTTCTGTTTTGTAATGAATAAGGCAGTGGCTAGTTATTATTCATTAGTAGCTTTTTCTGAGATAAGCTATCAAGTCTGCCCTTCTTAATGCTGGTGAAGATCATTTTTGTTCCGGGGATGTACTTTGTGGGATTCCCCCAAATACTCCATCAGGGTATCTTCTCCCCAGGTGATGCCTTTGTTCTTTTTTTTTTTTTTTTTTTGAGTTGGAGTCTCACTCTGTCACCCAGGCTGGAGGGCGATAGCACACTCCTGGCCACTGTAGCCTCGACCTGCTGGGCTCAGGCTATCCTTCCACCTCAGCCTTCCAAGTAGCTGGACCTACAGGCATGTGCCACCATGCCCGACTAATTTTTGATTTATTGTAGAGATGAGGTCTTGCCAAATTGCCCAGACTGGTCTTGAACCGTGGGCTCAAGCAGTACTCTCACATTGGCCTCCCAAAGTGCTGGGATTATAGGCGTGAGCCACCACACCCAGCCTGCCTTTATTCTTATTGGCATCTGTGTAAGAGAATCTAGCAGCCTGACCTGTCTTCTGTCCAAAGAGTCCATGGAGATTTGGCTTAGTCTTGTGCTTGCCTCCCTTTTCCATGGCATGACACTGAGCACACTTCTGAACAGAAATCTGCTTGCTTTTCTCAATAACACACATATTTAATTCTCTTTTGTTATTGGCACTACAGATGATCCCACTCAGAAGCCAGACATTTCACTCTCTCCTTTTTAAACATTAAAAAAATTCTTATATTGACCTTAACATTCAAGGCTTGACAAATCATGCAGCACTGGAGAGAGATGACTGCCAGTGCAGGGGCCCTGTGGCAATTTCAGCAGAAAAACACACTTCTGCCAGACACCGCAGCTGTGCCAAGGCCCTGGGTCTACACGGTCATGTGTTGGATGCTGCTACTCTCCTGTGGGGCTGCACACCCTTGACACCTCCTTGCCTAGTCTCGCATGTCTCCTGGGGGCTGCCTGCCACTTGGAGCTGTCCCATTTCGCCTCTGTGTCATGCATCCAGCCACAGGGCCACTCCAGACCTAGGCGCATACTGGGCAGGACAGGCCACACAGAATGCTGGCGTGGCCCCCAATGGCATGAGAGACAGTGCCACCAGGCAGTGTTTGGTGTTTGTGCTCTCCAACCACACTTGTGCCATCTTGTTCTTCTTTGTTTGTCTCCATAAACAGCCTTAAAACCCTCCTGAAGCAAAGTGAAGGTTAACTTTGATGAACTGAGCCTGCAGCTGCAAGGCAAGCTGTGACTCTGTGCTGGGGGCTACCAGGCTTCAGCACAAGCAGGAGGGGCCGCTGCATCTGCTCATGTGTGTCCTGGCTGGGGTTCTGCGTAGGGCCTGCCCTCCACCCTCGCAGTTTTTGTTTTTCTGGGAATGTTTTAACTTGTCCTTCATTTTTGAAAGATATTTTCCTGGATGCAGAATTTATGATTTACAGTCCTTTTCTTTCAGCACTTTGAATATGTCTCCCACTGCCTTCTGGCCTCTAGTCTCTGATGAGATGCCAGCTGTTTACCTTATTGAGGATCCCTTGTGATGAGTACCTTTCCTCTTACTGCTCTTAAGACCCTTCTTCCCTCCCTCCCTTCCTTCGTCTCATTCTGTCACCCAGGCTGGAGTGCAGTGGTGCAATCATAGCTCACTGCAGCCTCTAACTCCTGGCCTCAAGTGATCCTTCTACTTCTGTCTTTCAAATAGCTGGGCCTACAGGTGTGTACTACCACACCTGTCAGATTTTTAAATTTTTTGTAGAGATGGGTTCTTACTGTGTTGCCCAGGTTAGTCTCGAACTCCTGGCCTCAAACGATCCCCCTGCCTCAGCCTCTCAAGGTGCTGGGATTATAGGCATGTGCCACCACACCCAGCCTAAGATTCTTTCTTTATCTTTCAAAAGTTTATGCTGTGTCTAGGTGTGGCTTTCTGAGTTTATGCTACTTGTAGTTTATTGAGCTTCTTGTATGTATGTATTTGTTGTTGTTGTTCATCAAATTTGGGGAGTTTTTGGCCATTGTATCTTTACGAATTCTGTCTTCTCTTTTCCCTCTCTCCTATCCTTCTAGGATTTCCATCATGTGTATATTGGTCTGCTTGAGGATGTCCCACAGTCCTTTGAGGCTCTACTTATTTTTCTTCATTTTTCTTTTGTTCCTCAAGCTGGATAATTTTAATTGATCTATCTTTCAATTTGCTGATTCTTCTGCCTGCTCAAATGTGCTGTTGCTCCTCTAGTGAATTTTTCATTTCAGTAATTGTACTTTTCAGCTCCAAAAAAATCTATTTGGTTCTATTTTATAATTTTTATCTTTTTGTTGAGGGGTTCTGTGTATGTGTTGGGCATACTTTCAGTGTTCTAACAGGCACTTTACACATCTGCCTTAGCCTTCACCTGCTTTTGCAGAGCTACAAGGTTAACCAAAAGTGAGAGTTGAAGGCCTTCTCAGGTCTCTGGCACAGGCATAGTCCTGCACATATTCAAGTCTGCTAGAAGCCCAGAATATGCTGGAACTTTTCAAACCTCCCTTGGCTATCTCATTCTCTAGTGTGTTCTTTTAAGTTCTTTTCAGTTCTTTGGTTAGTCTCTTAGTCCCAACTGGTATCTCCACTTCAGGCAACTGTTTGTCAACAAATGCCCTGGGGATAGGATTGTTGACACAGTGAGCTCTGACCCTGGTCACATGATGACCAGTTTGAGAATGAGGCTTTCCAGTGAGCTGCCAGACAAGCATGTTAGTAGTAGTTGGTGGAATGGTGCTTTTGGGGTACTCCAGATCCATTCAGTCCCCTATTCCACCCTGGTGGCTACTGGATTTTAAAGCTATTGCAGAGATTGGAATAGAGGGATGGAGTTAGGGCAAGTTCAGATACTCCAAAAGTTTGTTCTGATGGAGACTTGATTTTTGCTTTCTTTATTTTTTAAGTTTTTGAATAGAGATGGGGTCTTCCTTTGTTGCCTAGGCCTGTCTTGAACCCCTGGCCTCAAACAATCCTCCTGCTTCGGCTTCCCAAAGTGCTAGGATTGCAGGCATGAACCATTGCACTCGATCTCTTTGTTTCCAGTAGATACTCTTTGAATTGTTGCAAGCCTTTCTTATACCACAGCTCTGAAAAAGTTGATTTTGACAGTTTTTACCACCGTTGGCAGTGCTTTTATAAAGGAACAGAGTTTTGGAGGCCCTTACTTTGCCCTGCTTGTAGTGCTACCTCTTGTTTTTTAAAAAATAAGCTTATTTCATTAATATAAATTAATTCATTTAAGTAAACCATATTTAAGTTTCTATTATTTAGGAAGGAAGAGGGTTTATCTCTTAAAATGGAGGGAACCAAGACTTCAAATATCTTGAATTTCCATGGTCTTAGTCCCTTGATGATGGTGAGTTTCCTAATGTGATTATTTGAGATGACCCAGTCACCATTTGGTAACAGCAGCCAACTGTTGTTCATCGCACAAAGATGTCACTTTTGCAAACTTCTATCCCCTTTAGTGTGTTGTTCCTGAAACCAGGATTTTTTTAACGTTCTTGGCAACTAGCCTTTGAACATCTGTTTGCTAGGGTCAGTGGTCTTGCTCTGAGTTATCACTGCTCTTTGCAGATAGGGGGCTTGAAAAAACATTTGCCAAATGTACTGAAATCTGGCTAATAGCAGGTAAGTGGAATAAACATAGTTTTCTAGCTTCATGGTACTTTTTGTTGTTATGAATATGTACAGAGTGAATTTGAAAGTGGGAAAAAAGGTGCTGCACGTGAAAAGGGAGAGGTACCTAGGTGTGAGAGTGTGCAAGCACCGTCTCCTCACCCAGAGGAGGGAGCATCCTCATCTCTGCAGCTCCAGGAAAAGAATCACCAGATCCAACAGGTATGTGTAAAGTGCCTCTTCCTTGTCACTGCTGCTTTTTTGATTGCAAGATATGTGTAACATAAAATGTATCATTTTAATCATATTGAAGTAAGCAATTCCTTGGCATTAAGTACATTCACAACATTTTGCAACTTTCACCACCATCCATCTCCAGAACTTTTTCATTTTGTGAAATGGAAACTCTGTTCCCATTAAACCCTCACTTCCCAGTCCCTCCTTCAGCCCACATTTCACTTAACTCTTGATGGACACTTAGATTATTTTCCCCTTTTGGATATTCTGAGTAATAGTACTACAGACATTGGTGTACAAGTATCTGTTTGATTCCTGCTTTCAAATTTTTTGGATCTATATCTAGGAATGGAATTTCTGGATCATATGGAAACTGTGTTTAACTGTTTGAGGAACTGCTGTACTGTTTTCCACAATGGCTGACCATTTTTACTCTCTACCAACAGTGCACAAGGGTTCCAATTTCTCCATGTCTTCACTGAGAGTGTTATTTTCAGGTTTTTTTTTGATAATAGCTATTCTAATTATATCTTATTGTAGTGTTGATTTGCATTTACCTGATGATTAGTAATGTTGAGCATCTTTTCCTGTGCTTATTGGCCATCTGTATACCTGCTTTGAAAAAATGTCTGTTCAAGTCATTTGCCCATTTTCGAATTGGGTTTTTTTTTTGTTATTGTTGAGTTGCTCATTATTATTATTTTGAAGGCAAAGATGTTTCACACTGTCTTAGAGATAGTCTCATTGTGTAGCTCTCGGCATTATAGCACTGTGACTTTCTTGCTCTCACTTTTGTCATGAGGGTCACTGGATTTTAACTTCACTAATGAAGTGATTGGAGGTATAGTTTGTGTGTGGATGTGTGCCAGCCACTGTGCTGAGCATTACACAGTTTCCACATTCCTGTTCACTTCTCTCCCGCTTGTTGTACAGATGCCACAGTACACTGAGGTCCAGAGAAGGTTCTGTGAATTTTCTAAAATTCCATGGCTACTGAGAACCATTTCTGTTGGACTTCAAACACTAGCAGAGTGTTTTGGGAGGATCTAAAGATTTCTTCCTTTTTTTTTTTTTTTGAGTTGGAGTCTCACTCTGTCGCCCAGACTGGAGTACAGTGGCTGCTCCCAGCCACTGCAGCCTCGATCTGCTGGGCTCCTGCGATCCTTTCACCTCAGCCTTCCAAGTAGCTGGAACTACAGGCACGCGCTACCATGCCCGGCTAATTTTTTTGATTTATTGTAGAGATGAGGTCTCGCCAAGTTGCCCAGGTGGGTCTTGAACCCACAGGCTCAGGCAATCCACTCACCTCAGCCTCCCAAAGTGCTGGGATTACAGGCTGAGCCACTGAGCCCAGCTAGTATATAAAGATTTCTAACAAATGATCAGGGCAGGAGTATATGCAGCGGTCAGCAGCAAGAGGTAAAGTGTCATGTTCCTAGCAGCAGAAACCCCTCGTATGAGGGAAGGAAGGAAGGTAGGTGATGCTTCTAGGTCTATGCTCGGGAAGGGAAGGGGTAGGGAGTAGTGAGGTGCAGAGTTACCTCAACCTGGCAGGGGGGTTCTGTGAGGGAGAAAGGGCCTTTCAAAGGGTTTCTTTTTCTTCAAGGTAACAGGCAATTCTGCTGTACTATAATACATATATTCCAGAGAAGCTTCTTCTAAAAATACTAAAAATAACATGGCTTGTAGGCCAAATAGGATTATAGGTGTGCCCCTCAAAATCCTTGCAGCCTTATAAACTCAAGTACCCACAGAAACAATAGCAGTTCTAATAAAGTATTAGTATAATTACAAAGACATATTAAATTCCAAATGAAGAAAGGAAATGTAAAGTTGCTATGGTGATTTGCCTTTGAAAAGTGGAGATGATAGCTTGATGCGGGGTGGGGACTAAGAAGGGAGGATCCCCACATATGCTCTTGGAGTCTGAGCTGAGGCCGTGTGCATGTGTGGGCCCTGGCAGGTGCAGCTGCTGTCATCTGGCTGCACAGGTCATTTGTGTGCCCAAGGAAAACTCATGGGTGAGCATTGCCCTAGTTGGGAGTTACACCTGAGCTGTGTGTGTGTGTGACTGGGCAGCATCCCTAGTTGAAGAGAAGAATAAATGCTCCTTTGGCAAACCAAGCTCTTAAAAAATTTTCTTTTCATTGAGAAACAGACCTACATGCATTTTTTAAATGAGCTTGTTCATTTACAACAATGCTGTGAAATCAGTAATTGTGTCCCACCATCCAGAATCCCTTTGAGCCTCTGCCCTTACACGGGTAACCACTCTGCTGATGGTTCTTGTTTTTCTCTTATTGAAGTATTCCTGAACCATCTGTTACTTGTATTTAGTGGTTTTTGGCGTTCATACAAGGGGATCTGAAGTTGACTCTACCATAGATTGTTGGTGATGAGACTCGTCAGTGTTGATGTGTGAAGCGTAACTTGTTCATTTCTATTGCTGAATCATTTTCCATTATATGAATACACTGCATTTCATTCCTAGTGGACTTCGGCTTGTTTTTCATTTTCTACTATCATGAATAAAGCTATTGTGTGTTTTCCTATACTTATCCCCTGTTACAAATGTGTAGCCTCTCTTGAGATTATACCTAGAAGCAGGATTTCCAGTGGTAGTTCTCTGCACACACCTGGCTTGGTCAGGTAATGCCAGAGTGTTGCCAGCTTTCATCCTGACTGCTGTATTCTTCTCCACGTCCTTGCCAACATCTGGAATGTTCCTACTTTGTAATTTTTGTCAATTTCATGACTATAAATACATCACTGTGATCTTAATTTGCATTTTCATACTTCCTAACAGATTGAGCACCTCTTAATATGTTTATGGCTCATTTGTGTTTCTCTTTTGTAAAATGCCTTTTTGTGTCTTTTGCCATTTTTCTATTTTAAAATAGTTTTTTTGTCTTTTTCTTGCTGACTTATGGAAATTCTTTGTATATTATGGATTTATTCTGATTTGTGGTTTTTCTTCTTTTTGATGTTTTTTCATGAATGAAAGTCTTTGATGAATTTAACTCTATTACCTTTTTGTTCCTTTTAGAGTTTACACTTTCTGTGCCTTACTTAAGAAATCCTTTCCTACTTCATATAGATATTCTCCAAGGTTAATTTATAGTTTAATTTTGTGATCCACATGTCAGTTGCCAAGTGAAACTGAGATTGCATCGCAGAGCCACCGCAACCTCGACCTGTTGGGCTCAGGTGATCCTTCCACCTCAGCCTTCCAAGAAGCCAGAAGTACAGGTGCACGCTACCATGCCTGGCTAATTTTTAAATTTTTTTAAATTGTAGAGATGAGGTCTCATCAAGTCGCCCAGGCTGTTCTTGAACCCATGAGCTCAGGCAATCCGCTCACCTTGGCCTCCCAAAGTGCTGGGATTACAGGCTTGAGCCACCGCGCCCAGCCTCTTACATGTTTGTATTGAGCATTTATTTATGGTAAAAGCTGTCTGGTTTTTGTTTTTGTTTTTTAGATTGGAAATACAGTTTATTTAGAAAGTAAATTAGAGGGTGGGGGAGAGACAGAGAAAGAGAAAAGATTCACTTTCCCAAAGTAGGGGAGGGAGCCAAAACTTAAGAAAACATGGCCTGGCCTTAGCACAGTGAAAACATGGCCTGTCCAGTGCTTCACAAAAACAATGGCCAAAGCTATCTGTTTGAAAGTTTTCTTGTGGGACAATTTTTTGTTGTGGGAATTACCAGTTTAATTTTTAATAGGATTATTTCTGTTTTCTGTTTTATATTCAGCTTTATTAAGATGTTCATTTACATTTCTTTTTTCCTCATCAGCGTTCCTGGAGATTTATCTGTTAGGGACTTCCCCTTAGTTACCATGTGCTTTTGGTGGGGTGTGGAAGGGCGAGCAGGATGTGGCAGGGCGAGCAGGATATGGACTCTCCCACGGCCTTCCTGAGCCGAGGTGGCCATTGTGGTGGGTCCTGGCTTGCTGCGAGGTGTGCAGCACAGCCTGGGGCTGTCCACTGTGCCCGACTCCTGTCCACCCTCACTGACTGTGCACCAGCAGTTAGACACAGCCTTGCCTGGAGTCGTCTGAGACTGTGTGATATGGAGTTTGGTGCATGTACTGCTGTGCTTCTGTTTCTCTTCTGGTCAGAGTTTGCCATATTGAAACTTGAAGTTTCTGCTTATTCATGCCATTTTCTTTACTCTTACCAGCTATGTGTGTGTTTGAGTGTGACTTATTAATCCCTGGTTTTTATATGATGTGGTTTTTTTTTTTTTTCTGTCTTCCCTCTGTGTACCACATGGCTGCTGTGATCATAGTTGGTATCTGTTACTTGCAGTACATTGATTGCGAAATTACACTCTTCCTCTGGTCTGTGTTTTCTTTTTGTACTGTCTGTTTTCTCCATCCTATACAGCTGTTCGCCTTTGTCCTGGATAAGGGCACTTGCTGGCCTGACACTGTGGCAGCACAGGGCTTCTTCATCTGGTGCCCATTCTTCTGCCCCAACTATTTTGTCTCTGAACTGGAGCCCATTAGGGATCCCTGCCTTGTGATGGCTTTGGGAGGTGGCATCCCTGCATTGTCCCCGTAGGAGGTGTGTGACTATACTCTTTCTGTGGTTATTTCTCTGAGCTGGGTGGTGATGCTCTGTTGTAGCCTCCTCTGCTCTTTTGTCTTCCATGTGGAGGATGCCTACATTCATGTTGGCAAACCCAGCCCGACCTGAGAAAGCCCAGTTGCAGCTTGGGTAAAGGGGCTCAGGCTGATCTGCAGCACTTGGTGCTTATTTCCAAACTACACCACAAAACCTCCAGAGCCCATGGCCCATGCGTGGGGCAGCCCTGGGTAGCCCATGGTAGTTGCAACACTCAGGGCAGCTGGTGTTGCCTGCACCACTGAGACATATAGCTGTTGAGTCATTTTGCTTTTAGAGAGAAATATGTAAGCAGGAACTTTGCCTGCCTGGCAACTAATTTTTGTTGTAAATGACCAGTTACAGTGACTTATTTATTTGTGTATTTGTTTTCTTGAGTTGGAATCTCACTCTTTCATCCAGCTAGAGTGCAGTGGTACAATCACAGCTTACCTCAGTCTCAACTTCCTGGGCTCAGGCAGTCCTTCTGCCTCAGTCTCCCAAGTAGCTGGGACTACAGGCACGTACCACCATGGCCAGCCAATTTTTTGAGTTTCTTGTGGAGACGTGGTCTCATTTGGTTGTGTAAGCTGGTCTTGAACTCCTGGGCTCAAGCAGTCTTCCCTCCTCAGCCTCCCAAAGTGCTGGGATTACAGGTGTGAGCCATCATGCCCAGCCTAGTGACTTATTTTGAATTGTTATTTACGTGTGAATCTCTGATGAATCTGCCCCTTCCCTCCTCTAGCAGCAGGTGTGGGCTGGAGGTGTTTGTTTCTTCTTTGTAGAAACCATCATCTGCTCTGATGGGGTTGTCGATATGTTTCTTTTGTGAAAGTAATGAATAATGGAGGAGAAACCATATTAATAATTTTCACTTTTAATCATTACCAGGTTTACTTCTTACCATATTTTTATTAAATGTACAGATGCTTCTCAACTTACTATAGGGTTTTGTCTCAACAAACACCTCATGGGTTGAAAACATCGTAAGTTGAGGAGCATACTAAAAGCACATCACCTTTGCACCATTGTTAAATTGAAAATTGTAAGTCAAGGAGCATACTGAACACACATTGCCTTTGTGCCATCATAAAGTTGAACAACTGTTAATTCAAATCCTTGTAAGTTTGAACCGTCTGTAATAAAAGTTATGGTGAAAATCTCTTACCACCATGTCTTTTTAACTAAGTAGTCCTAACTAAAGCTTTAACAATTCTTCTCAATAGCTGAAAGACCAGGTTTTATCCTTAAGCCACGAGATAGAAGCCTGCCGTTCTGAACTCGAGATGCTGCAGCAGAGGCGGGAAAGGGAGAACCAGGAAGGTGCAAACCTTATCTCTATGCTCAAAGCCGACATTGACCTGTCTCATGGTGAAAGGTCAGTGTGTCCTCAACACTGATGTCCGCTCTGCACATGCATCCACCAGTCACTGGATGCCATTGGTTTCCAGCTTGCTCCTGGCCCCTTGCACCCATTACGATGTTTCCATGCATGTTGATCTCTGGTAGATGGAGACCCTGGGCCACGTTATTCTTCTCACTGAAATAGATTTTAAACACTGAGAAGAATACACCTGCCTCTTACCACTTGCTTTGCCAAAACTTGCCCTGTTGTCTCAGCTTCCTGATCTCCCACTGGATGGAGGATCCATGTCCTCCAGCCCCACGGGGACAACCATCTCTGTGCCTGAGGCATACTCATGTCCTTATCTGGTGTGCAGGCCAGTTAGCAGCTCCCCATCAAGCTTCTAGGGCAGGTTCCTATGCTGTACCAGCATGTGTGACGATGGGTGTCTCCTGTCGCAGAGGGTGGGTTCCCATACTGTGACTGTCATGCATGACAGGTGTCTCCTATCTCAGGCAGGCCCTCCAGAGCATCCTGCGGAGGCTGCTGAGTTTGTTAGGAGAGATACTGCAGGCAGCCATTGCCCTGAAGAACCGGATTGGCGAGTGTGTGGGGCTCTGCCTGGATGATGCAGGTGCAGGCCAGGCCCTGTCAGCAGGTGAGTCCACCAGCACTGTCCTGGCCCCTGCACCTTCAGCTCCTTCTGTGGGCTTAGGAAAGGCTGCTGTGTTGGGGACACTCTTGGAGGACCTACTACTGTTGTTTCCTGCTAGTGCCTACACGTAGAGGAGACTGAGCCTTGGGCCTTGGGTGGGTCTACCGGTTTCTATGGGTGTGTTTCTATCTTCTGCTTAGGAAAGGCTTGTGTTTTGTTTGTTTTGTTTGAGTCAGAGTTTCACTCTGTTGCCCAGACTGAGTGCAGTGGCATGATCATGGCTACTGCATCCTTGACCTCCTGGGCTCAGGTGATCCTTCTGCCTCAGCCTTCCATGTAGCTGGAACTACAGGCACATATCACCATGCCCAGTTAACTTTTTTATTTACTGTCGAGGCAAGGAGTCACCAAATTGCTTAGGCTGGTCTCTATCCCCTGGGCTTAGGCAAAGGAAAGGCCTGTTCTTGAGGTGGATGGTGTCCTCAGCATGTGTGGGTTTGCTGGGTGGCCTTTTAACCTGCGGTGTGTCTGCACCTGCTTATCTCATAGCTCCAACACTGGAGGAGACATGGTCTGATGCAGCCACACTGGAGCAGGACCAAACTTTGTCTGGATGTGCAGAGATGTCTTCAATGGCAGACATCAGCAGTCACATACGTGAGAGCTTTCTGATGAGCCCAGAGAGTGTGCTGGAGTGTGAACAGCCTGTTCGGAGGGTCTTTCAGAGCCTTGCCCTGGCTGTGGATAGCCTCCTGGAGATGGCCCTGGGCTCCAGCAAGCAGGTGAGGCCAGGTACCTCTGGAACCGGGTGGAGCAATGGGTGATTGGGTAGATGGTGACATGGCACGAAACTGGCTGGTGTTGTTGTGGTCACTGCACCTGGACCTTTTCCTGGGCTCTCATGCGGTATTTCCAATTTCCACTCAAACCAGGCAGCCCAAGAAAGGAGCATTCTTTCATTTTTCAGGTTGATCTGACTTCCAGAATATACTCTGTCCCTTCTTTCTCAGGGCTTTTGGGGATAGAAATGTCCCTTCGTATTGTGTTTAATCTTCTGTTACTTCCAACCATATTCTCATACATGCTTTTCCTTACATAAGAGTCTTTCCTGAACTAGCATTCTTAAGGTGGGCTTGCTGTGAATGACAGATCGAATCTCAGTTTATTTAATTAGGGGAATGCACAAATGTGCTTCCTTCACTTGCTGCTCTACTGCAGTTCCACATTGAATGTTTTTATTTCTAGAGATTATAGCTAAGAAAAGGAACTGTTTTTTAAAACCTTTTTAGAACATTTTAGACAGTTTAAATAATGCTAAATAGGAATATGTGGAAAGCAACACAGATTCTTTTTTTCCAAGAACTGGGTGTATTTACATGAAACATCTTCATGTGGAGTGTCTTCATATGAGGCATTTACGTGGAGTATTTATGTGGCGTATCTTTGTGTGAGATGTCTTCGCATGGGGCATCTTTGTGTGGGGAGTTCACATAGAGCTGTTCAGTTTTCAGAAGTGCTGAGTGAGCTTTTCTTCTGAGTGTGAGATCTGTAGCCACCCTTCCTTGATTCCTACTCCTGCCATTCCTTACCTGTGTCTCCCTTCCCTGTGTCTTCCTTGTCTCCCTGTGTCTCCCTTGTCTCCCTCTTGTCCTCCCTGAAGAGGTGGACACCTGTGGGTGGCAATGGATAGGTCATCAGATGCTCTGATTATCCCCCAAGTGTAATTAACCTGGACAGATCCTTTTGTGGGTATCTTGGTGGGGCTGTGTCGAGGAACATGAGGAGGTGCTGGGAGAGAGGGTGGAGGTTGAGAGACTACAGGAGAGCCTGGTGGGAGACAGAGAGCTTTCTGAGGTCAGTGCAGGGACCATGGGCAGAAGACTCGAAGTGGGGCTGGCTTAGATAGGGTCATCCTTGCCTGCGGGAGGGGCTTGTGGGAGGGATGGGGGCATGAGAAGAGGCTGTCTCAGCGACCATTTTAATAAAGATTTCTTTAGAGGTTGGGAGTTTGGAGACCCAGGTGCTGAATTGTCTGATAGGGCCTGTTGGTTGTAGGTGTTTTGAATTCAGAGATAAATCTGGGCCTCTCAACCTGTAGGTGGCCTAGAGGTTCATATCTACCAGGGAAGCACCTGAGCTGTGGGGGCAGTTGGCCACATGTGGAGACCTTGGGGATGACTGTGGCCTGTGGTGTTGGGAAGAGCGGCCAAGTGGCACTCACATCCCAGCTGTCCTTGCTGGTGTGGTGATAGCCAAGGGGTCTGGGGATAGAAATATAATTCTTTTGGTATTCGTGCAAGCTTTGGCTATTTTTGACATGCAATTCTGATTTTCGAATATGTTTGACAGCTGGAAGAAGCACGCCAAATTCATTCTCGTTTTGAAAAAGAATTCAGTGATAAAAACGAGGAGACGGCACAGGTTGTTAGAAAGCACAAGGAGTTGCTGGAATGCTTGAAGGAGGAGAGTGCAGCCAAGGCAGAGCTGACGCTGCAGCTGCACAAGACCCAGGGTGAGTGAATGCAGTGGGTGGTGTCCTCTGGACCGGGGCACCTGGAACATGTACAGTTACAGGGAGCAGACACAGGCTACTGATGGAAGTGTCAGGAGCAGGGTTTTTTGTTGTGGTGGTGGTGGGTTTTTTTGTTTGTTTGTTTGTTTTCTGAGTTGGAGTCTCACTCTGTCACCCAGACTGGAGGGCAGTGGTATGCTCCCGGCCACCATAGCCTTGGCCTGCTGGGCTCAGGCGATCCTTCCATCTCAGCCTTCCAAGTAGCCGGAACTATAGGCAGGTGCCACTATACCCGACTAATTTTTTGATTTATTGTAGAGATGAGGTCTCGCCAAGTTGTCCAGGCTGGTCTCGAACCCACGGGCTCAGGCACCTCTCTCACCTTGGCCTCTCAAAGTGCTGGGATTATAGGCATGAGCCACCGCGCCCAGCCTGCTATGTTTTTTTTTTGTTTTTGAGTTGGAGTCTCAGTCTGTCGCTTAGGCTGGAGTGCAATGGCATGCTTACAGCCACCGCAGCCTGGACCATCTGGGCTCAGGAGATACTTCTGCTTCAGCCTTCCAAGTCACGGAAACTGTAGGCATATGCCACCATGCCCAGCTAATTATTTTTATTTTTTTGATTTGTTGTAGAGACTAGGTCTCGCCTAGTTGCCCAGGCTAGTCTCAAATCCTGGGCTCAGGCAGTCCTCTCGCTTCTGTCTCCCAAAATGCTGGGATTACAGGCGTGAGCTACCTTGCCCGACTAGAAGCAGGGTTTTTAAAAGTAGGATGTAAATGTAAACAGTGGGAGCACCAATGAAACAGTTGCATTTGGGAGGGACAGGGTAGCTGTGGGGAGTCTGTTGCTGGCAGGACTCTTCGAGAATGCAGGCTGTTCTGGATGCTACTGCTCTCATTGGCACATTTCTCCCCTGCTCTTGGGGTGACAGCTTCAGGGTGTCTGTAGGATGGCGTGATGGGAGCATTCACCACTTGTCATGGGAATGTCTGTCAGTGGTTCCTCTGAGCAGAGACGTCTACAACTGCCTACTGCCTCGTGCTCACAGTGATATCCTTATGCAAGGTCTCTGTGCAGGATGTTGTGGCCGACGGATGCAGGATGACCACTGCAGGTGGGGGCACTAATGTGTAGCTCTTCACTCTGGCTTGGCCTTGTCTGGAGATTCCCCCTTTGTTGAGGGGGGCAGACCTTGCATCTGCTCTTCTAGAGAGTGAATGCAGACATTACCTCCAGCACTCATGCTGTGGGTCTTTGGGCAGACGTTTTTGTGCGGCATGGCCTCTGGCTTTGCTCCTGCTATGGGTCAGAGTGTCAGTTTGCCCATCTCCACAGGCATCCTTGAAGGATTCAAGGTGGAGAAGGCTGATCTGCAGGAGGCGCTGGGCTGCAAGGAGGAATCCGAGCATCAGCTTGTCTTAGAACTGGAGAGCCTGAGGCAGCAGCTGCAGGAGGTAACCCAGGAGCAGGCCACACTGAGGGAAGAGTATGCCCGCCTATGGAGTCAGAAGGAAGCTTCGGCTATGGAAATGGAAGAAAGGGAGACTGGTAAGGAATGCCAGTGCTGGGGGATGAAGTGTGGAGTTCGGGGGGTATAGGGAAAGTGAGAAGTGCAGCAGCAGCTGATCCCAGCCTCCACAGAAGCGTGGCCTTTCTAGACGGCACACACTTCTGAAGGAATCGCCAGATGTGCACAACTACTTACTTGATTCTTACCCTGGATTCTGGAAGGCTGTGCAGGCAGGACGAAGCATTCACCTGTCCTGCTTCCTTTTTAGAAAGGTGATGGTCCTGGTCAGTGTGACTGATTGAAGAACTACGCCTCTGTGAAGTGGAAGGAATCTCCAGGAAATAGTGGGTTTCTGTGCATCCACCAGTCTGTCTGGGACAAGTGGCCAATACATGAAACAGAAGAGCCACTTTAACATATTATTTAAAGGAACAGAGTGTCTAATGAGAGTCCTAATTAGGAAAACATATGGTTTTGATGAAAATAGATCACATATTTTCAGATTTTTAGTCTTAACAATATTTAACATGAAAATGATCAAAGCATAAGCGTACAGCATTGAGTTTGTAAGTGACTGTATCCTCAAGTAGCTGATTTGTTAATGATTCTGTTGGGTGAAAATCCTTTCTGGAGCTGAGTCTGTATCCTCAGCTCCAAGGGTGGAATCTCCTGAAGTCTCCAAGGCCTCCCTGTGCTGCTGGCATTGCTGCTCACTGTCTCCCTGCCTACTGGGTGCCTCATAGTCTCACGTGGAATCTGTCTCTGGGCATCTGGAAGGGAGCAGGGCTCTGCATCTCTGTTGCCTTCCAGGATGGTCATGGAGAAGTGTTGATTCCATTAGAAATGCAGATTTGTGTTTGAGCCCCGGTCATCACAGTCACCACCCAGCCCATTTAGGAAAATCTCCCTTTTCTTTCCAAGACTGTTGATTGTTTTTAGTTTTTTTTCTTTAAAAGCAGCCAGCTTTTGGCTTTGTGAACCATTCTGTTTCATTGCTTTTTACCCTTCATTGTTGTTGCCATCTTTGTTCAGAGGCTCTTTGATGGTGCTCATGGACATGCTGTACCTCTCAGGGTCTGGGCTCATGCCGCCTCCTAGCAGTGCTGTGCTTTGTCCCCTGTGGGCCTGGCAGGATTTTCAAAGCCTCTTTGACAAGAGGAGTGTTTGTGGTTGGCTTTCCTTTTGGGGTATTATAGCTGCCCCAGACTTTATCACCCACTTGTCTCCTGTTCACTCTGTGATACCCCTGGATCCCGTTTCTATTTTTGTCTATAAATTTCTCATGTTAAAATATTAACCCAGTTTTTTTCCCTTTCTGTATTGTTTCTCATCCCTTTGTTTTCGGTCTTTATGCTTTTGTTTTAGTTGTGTCTCTTACGGATTCTGTATGAATGGGTTTTGTTTTTTTTTTTTAAAGCTTGTCTGTATCTCCTTTTGGTCCATTTAGACACATTTTCATTGTGGAGCCTGGCACCCACGGGTTTGTTCTTGCTCCTTTTTGTTTTTCTTTTCTCTATACCTACTCTGCTTTGCTTGGGGTGGCCTGTCCTCTGCCAGCTATGACATCATGCCATCAGTTTTACTCACAGTGTTGGCACCTTCTTTGCCTGGTCGGATCATTCTCTGTTTCTGGGCCTCCCTGTCCCCATGGAGGGTGTGTGTCACTCTCGGGGCAATGGGTGCCTGCAGATCTCTTGCTTTTACCTTGTCCCTGAGTGTAGCTGTGGCTGGAGACACACTACTTCAGGCCCTGTTTTTGTTTTCCCTGAGGCTGAGGCTGTTTGCTGTCATTTCTGCATCACTTTGTTGATTCTCTGAAGGTATTTTTGGAAACCTGTCTCTGATGTTCTGTGTGTTACTGTCACTGCCTGGGGTGGGTCCCCACACCTGGCTTATTCTGTTTGAGGTCTGGCTATTTTTGTTTTCTGTGCATTTGTCTGTCATTGTTCTCATGCTGCTCTTCTCTGTACTTTTCTGTCCTTTTCCATTCTCAAGCTGCTCTCTTTTCCTCCTTCACTTTGTTTTGTTGTCATTTCTCTGATATCTTCTTGGCTTGCTTTTGTGCCGACATTATTAATCTTCATCCTGCCTTGGTTTCTCACTCTGGTCTCTCCTTCTCTTTACATGACCTGCCCTTCTGCACATCCCTTTAGGGATATACTTGTGTCCTTCCACACAAGCAGACCTGGCTGCCAGCATACCCACTGCTTTAACCACAGGCTTCTAGGGATGGCCCTGGCCTGCCACTTGGCCTTGACCCTCCTTCGGGTCCTTGAACCTCAACCAACTTGGTTGAGGAGTTGAGCCCTGCCTTTTCACTGTTTTGCACGATGTCTTATTTGCAGTGTGTTTTGTGGCATCTTTGGGATGGTGCCGTATGTCCTGTTGTTGTTGTTTTGATCTCCTTTAAATATTGACACCAAAGCAACTGGGAGCCAGGAACTGCAGCAGTAGTTGGGAAGGGCTCACAGCTTGGGAAGTGTAAGGGTCTTAGTAAGTGTTCCCAAATTCTGCTGCCCAAATTCTGCTGCCCACATGGCCTTTGCTGGTGCTGGCACACATATTCTAGGCCGCATGCTCCTCTGTTTTCATCTTTGGTAAATACTGCACTTTCGTTTGTAGGCACACCTGGCTCTGCAATGCCCAGGGATACAGGTTTGTAAAAGCCATTGAGTGACCTCTGTGTGACATGCTGTATGTTTACATTAGATTTTGCAGATTGTCTACTAAAGAAGAAAAGTACCTCTGAGCATTCATGGCAACCATTAAGTTACAGTGATACAATAATCTTCAACATTAATTCATAAAAATTGGCAAAGTTGTCTATTTTAATTCTCCAGCAAAATGCAAGCATCTTTCTAACAATATCTGCTGCTATTCTTAAGCTATGTATGGCTTGTGCTGTTTTGCAGGAACTTGTGATAATTGTGGTTGTTCTTGGGCTGCATCACTGCTTTGGGCCTCCAGGGAGGTCTCTGGGAAGCCCTGAGCCTGTTCTGACTTTCTTATGGTCCCTCAGCATGGATGTCACTTGTTCAGCAACCTGGACCTCAGTCCGTGTCTCACCAAGGCCCAGGGTATGGTCAGCCTGGTGCCTTCCCCCTGTGTGGCCCTTATAATGGTGTTGTCTTAGCCAAGCAGGAGCCTGTGTTACCTCACGGCCAGGGAATGCTGACCGTGAGAGCAGCTGCTTTGGACCTTTGGCTCATGTCTTAGAGTGGGAATGACATTGTCATAACTGCATGTGTAAGACACATTTACCGTAATTGCTGACTTCTTAGCATGAATTTTTAATGGAATGTTGCTTATGTTAATGGGAGTGATGGTTGTCATAAAGGGTTGACAGATTTTTCCTTTTCAAAATGATTCCATTTTGAAAACTGGTAGAATGCAAGTAAGATGTATGAATTTAATATTGTAGTTTTTATGGTTTGAACACTGCAGGATTCAGCAGCACCAAGCTCCTTTTTCAAGATGCTTTTTAACCTGCAGTTTCAACTTAGGTTTGGGCATTGTCACCCAGTGTCTCAGTTTGTTTTGTGCTGCTGACAGAATCCCTGAGGCTGAATAAATCATAACAAATCAAGTGCTTGCAGTTCTGGGGGCAGGAGGCCTGAGGTCAAGGCACAGTAGATTAGGTGTCTGGGGAGGGGCCTCTGTTTCCATGACGGAGTCTAAAACCATGTATTTCAGAGTGGAGGAACCTGGACCATCAAGTGACAGAGATGGAAAGGCCAGGAGGGATAACCACTCTTGAAAGCCCTCTGAGAAATGAATCCCACACTTGAGGGTTGAGCCCTCATGGCTGCAATCACTTGTTAAAGGCCCCGCTCCCAGTCCCCTCTTGTTGGCAGTTGCATTTCTTTTTATTTTTTTTGAGTTTGAGTTTCACTCTGTCGCTCAGACTGGAGTGCAGTGGCCGCTCCCAGCCATTGCAGCCTTGACCTGCTGGGCTCCGGTGATCCTTCCGCCTCAGCCTTCCGAGTAGCCTGAATTACAGGCATGCGCTACCATACCTGGCTGATTTTTTGATTTATTGTAGAGATGAGGTCTTACTGCCCAGGCGGGTCTTGAACCTGCGGGCTCAGGCAATCCACTCACCTCAGCCTCCCAAAGGCGTGGGATTACAGGCTGAGCCTCCAAGCCCAGCTTGGCAGTTACATTTCAACATGAGTTTTGTAGAGGATAGAAATGTAAACCACAGCACCAGGTAACTTTAGGTTGACTTTGATTTGCTGAGTGATCGTGCACTTTTACTCTGAGACGTGTTGCAGCCTGGGCACTCAGAACTGTAGTTGTCTGCCAGAAACCTCCAGCCTGCTTATCTGGAGCTGTGCTCACATGGGTGGAGATTCTGTGTTATATTTTTCTGTGTTATAGGATATATGTGAAGATGTTACCCTAGAAAATTACCTGATATGTCATTTGGGAGTACCAAGATACATTCTTCTCAGCTTTAAACATTTAAAAAATTTTGGCCCATTTTCATTTAAAATATGTACTTTTTTCCAAAAGTAATTTAACTTTATTTTGAGTGAGTTTTTGATTAAACTTTGTGGATCTGTGAGGTATGGTCTTGGTGTTAGATGGAGATAGGCTAACGTTGGCTCTTGGGGTGCTTGTGTGTCCCCTGTTCAGTGCAACCTCCATGGAATTATATCTTGCAGGTAGGAGAGGTTTTGGGAGGAAATGAGACCTGTATTTTTACGGGGGTGGGATCAGAGCACCCTGTGCTCCCATCCTGCCTGCCGGGGAAGCTGGACCAGCATCAGCTTTTTCCTGGCAGCCTTATACTCGCCACACTTGGGAGCCTATGGCGGTCACCATCAAGACTCTGTGTTCTACTCAGTGATCATCACTGTGGAAATGTGTGTTTTGGGTTCCTTGTGCTCATTGTGGGTTCCAGCCTCTGGGCTACAGGGTTTCCTCCACATCTATTTTCTTTGTGTTACTAGCTCTGCGGAAGGAAGTAGAGGATTTGACCCAGGAGCAGTCGGAGACTAGGAAGCAGGCTGAGAAGGACCGCTTGTCCCTGCTTTCCCAGATGAAGGTTCTTGAGTCTGAGCTGGAAGAGCAACTCTCTCAGCATCAATGGTGTGCTAAGCAGGCCGAGGAAGTCACTGCTCTGAAGCAGCAGATGGCATCTCTGGACAAGCACCTGCGTAACCAACGGCAGTTTATGGATGTAAGAATTCTGGATAAATGTCACTAGAAGTTATCATTATAGTGCGAGCTTCTTTCCAGGCTGTTGTGTCTGTGCTCTGACATTGAGTGTCTGGTACTCACCATGCAGATGCACCTGGGCCACTGTTTCAGTGACATCTGAGTTGCCCACCTGTTGTGTGGAGGGTTTCATGGGACTCCTCGCTGTGGCTGGGCACACGTTCCTTTTTACACTCCTGGGAGGCGTTTCCAACAGTCAGGCTTTAGTCTTATGTCCTGGGAGGTGTGCATGTGGCCTACCTACTCCTGGGGAGCCTCGGTCGCTCCGTTGGACCTGTGCTGTCTGCTCTCACCATTCTTGTCTCCCTGTTCACCATTTCCAAATGTGATCATGTTTCTCGAGCCTCCTTTACGTGCCATCTAGAGGGTTATTCCTCTTAACCCCATTTTACAAAAGTGACTATGATGAAGGACATTTGGAGTTCGCACTGCTGGGTGAGGGACTTGTGTGTGTGCGTTGGAAGCCTGGGCCATGAGGGTCACATATGCCCCAATGGGTGGTCCTGACATGCTGCCTCTTGTCCTAGGAGCAAGCTGCAGAACGGGAGCATGAGCGTGAGGAGTTCCAGCAGGAGATTCAGAGGCTGGAGGGGCAGCTCCGCCAGGCTGCCAAGCTACAGCCTCACGGCCACCTTGACAGTCAGGTAGGTCAGCCTGCTGTGAGCTACACCTGGGGTGGCCATTCTCTACCATGTTTTTAGGCTTTAACTTTCTTTAAATTTTTGCCTTCCATGTACATGAAAACAGCAGTACACACAACTGGATGGAGAGGTAAGGAGGAGCAGCCCTGCCTATATCCCATTGGCGTAGTTGGTGCTCTTGTCTTGGCAGCTCAGGCTTCCTTTCACAGCATGACTGACAGAGAAGGCACCACATACCATCCTGTGCCTGCCTGCTTTTTGTACTTTTGCTGGGGATTGCAGCTGTTTGCCTCCACTTGTCTGAGAAAGCTCTCATTGGTTTGCTTATTATTCTCTTCAAATATTAAACTTATTTTGAGATTATAGGTGATTCATGTGCAGTTGTAAAAAGTAAGACTCAGATCCCCGGTAGCTTTCACCCAATGGGCACTGCTTGCAGAGCTAAGAGCTAGTACACAGCATCACCGCCACTGTCGACAGGGACCTGATGAAGTGTTTGCCCTTGCCACAGACCCCCTCACATGTGCTGTAATGGCTACACCTCATCCTGCCCCGACAACCTCTAATCTGTCTTCTGCTTGTATAATTTTGTCACTTCCATGCTATTATGTAAATGTAGTCATAGTAGGTGTGCTATCTTTTGGGATTGGTATCTTTCACTGAGTCTAATTCTCTGGAGATTCATCCAGGTTGTTGCATGTCTCCATTGTTTTTTCTTTTTTGTTGCTAAGTACTATTCAATTCCTTTCTATCAAAATAAATTTTATACTACTAACAAATGTTTGTAAAGAGAGAATGCCCTTCTTAATACAACTTTATCTTATTATTTCTTAGGTTTCATTGTACAGCCTAGGTCTAGAAAAATGCATAGAGCATTTATTTTCTCTTGTCAGTTGTATTGTGTACTTTTAAATTTGGATGATAGGTTTTTTTAGAGCAGTCTGCTTTATTGCTCAAACATTTTCTGTTATTGCAGATTGAATTGTTACAACAAAAACTGAGAGAAAAATCAGATGGATTTAATGAATTAGCTATAAAGAAAGAGATAGCAGATAGACAAGTGTTAATTCAGGAAGAAGAAATTAAACGTCTGGAGGAGATGAACATCAACACCAGAGCAAAAGTGGTCCAGTTCCAGGAAGAATTGGAAAAACAGAAAAAAATTGTGAAAGAGTTACAACAAGTAAGCATTGCTATGCTGTAATTGGAAGTGCAGTGAGGTGCCCATGTCCATGCCCTCTGGTTTTGGTTCTCTCTAAGATTTCCAGGCAGAGCAGGATTTCAGATCTCTCTTTTTCTCTTGTACCTACCAAGTCTGCACTGGAAATACAAAGTGTTAGAGACAGACAGACATTATCAGTGACTGGATAGCAAGTTTACTCTGACCTCTCTGGAGATACTTTTATTTACTGTAGTAGGATGTTAGACCAGTCTTTATGTCTCAAGAACTCTGAATTTAACCTTAGTAATTTCATAAAGTAAATTTTTAAAATTTTTGTTTTTAAAAAACTTCATTAGATACTTAAGTTAGAGCTAGTTATCTTAGCTTTTGAGTTGAGAACTTATGCCAGCTCCCCAGTGAAAATATTTCCAGTGATAGTGCTTCTTATTAAAGCTTGAATCGTGCATTGATACTGTTTCCTATGTTAAAACCTTAGGAACAGGCTGAGAAGGCCTGTCTGGTAGGGCTGTCTCATGTGTGACCAGGGCTGCCTCTGTGCTTCAGGAGACAGCTGTGCCCTCTTTTTTGGGAATTTAGCTAAGTGGAACTGAGCTTCTAGATTTCCTTGTATCTTATGTTACTGGAAGTTGAAAGATTACTTGAAAAGTGAGACTTAGTGAGGAATTTTGTTTTAGAATCAATAGTTTGGCCCTCAGACAAATCTGCTCATGGGTGAGATGAGGGTTTTTCTTGAGTATGTCTGATTCTATCAGTCTAATGAGAACTTCACATGAGGACCTACCTGATGTGTTTCCACTCCTCTGGCGGGGACCACCCTGTGTGATCCTCTCCCTAGAAGGGAGCTGTTCCTTGTCAGCTTCATCCCTTCCTACCTTCATTCGCTCAGCAAATGTTTACTGAGCTTATTAGGTGCCAGGATATAGAAAATGCTTTTTTTCTCCAGAAAATTGAGCCATATGTACAATTTTATATGCCAATTTCTCCCCCACTTAATATGTTGTGAGCATTTTCTCCATACTAAATATCCTTTGGAAGCTTTTTCGTGAGCAGTTAATATTTGTGGTATGGATATACCAGCAATTATTGCCCTATTTTTTTTTTTGACAAGTTCTTTTCAATTTTTAAAAAACTGGCTAACAGTCTAATGAATGTTTTTGTACCATGTCAAGTGATTACTAAAGATAGGTTCCTTGCAGTGGGATCATTGCATATACTATAGCTCTGTATTTGAGGTCACATCCTATGCTGGGTTCTGTGTCTTATGCTGTCTAATGAGTCCCTGGGTGCAGGTATATATCCAGGAATATCTGTGTTTCAGGAAGAGCTGAGGATGTTTTCTATGTTAACAGGCAGCCATTTGAGGTCCCTGATTCCTAAATATTTGCCTAAAATAAATTTCCATTTTTGTTCTTAAATAGGATAAAGAGGCACTAAAGGAACAGCAGATGAATAACTTGCTTCTGGTGTCCACACTGCAATCTAAACTAGATGAAGGCAGATGTCCTGTGCTTCCTTTGGGCAGCCCTCCCAAGGGCTCAGAAGTGCAGTTAGAGGCGACGCAGAGGGCACTCCTGCAGTGTGAGAGTGAGGTGCGCAGTTGGAGCTGTTGGGGCCGTCAGTCCCTGCTGAATGTCAAGGGCACTTCCTGTGTGGAAGACCTGACATCTGAATGACAGCTGGTGGCTTGTGACTGCTGTATAGTTTTTGTAATTTTACCATTTATATGTGGGTATAGAATGGCAGTAAATACTTTGGGCGTGCACTTTTAAATATCTCAAAGCTATATTAATAGTTTCTAAATCAGTTATAATATTAGATAATTTTTAATGCTTCCCTTTGTTTTAATGAAAGGTTTTGGACTTAAAAGGACAACTAGAAAAGATTGAAGATGACTTAGTAAGTAAAAATGAAGAAATACTACATCTGAACTTACAATTAGATATACAGAACAAGCAAACAGCTGTTAGCCTCAGAGAACTTCAGGAAGAGAATGCCAACCTGAAGGTAAACTACAAAAGGTCCACTTCGAAACTAAGTTTATGTTGGTTATGTAGGGGCTGGGGCCAACTGAAGGACCCTCCTTATGGGCAGGTAGGCCTCTGACCTTCCTAGACATGTGAGAATCCATGCTGGAGACCCCGCACAGTACCCATGACCCTGCCCGGGGATGTTTATAGGAAGCCACTTTCTAGGGTTATGAGTTGGCAGGCAGTGACCCTGCCCCAAACTCTGCTTTCTTTGTGCAGCACTGATAGTCGTGTTTTCTGAAAGAGCTTTGACTAAAGACTAAAATTGCAGGAGAGGAACTTCCCTAATGACTGAAACCACGAGGAGGAGATAAGTGATCACTTTGGAAGATGTGAATGACTCCTGATGGAAAAATATCTATTTTTAAATCTTTTCTATTATTTTGATGTAGCTGTGCTTTTGAAGCAAAAAAGAAAACCAATCTCTATATAGTAGAGATGATATTCAAAGCTGCAAAGAAAACAACTTTATAAGGTGGCTTTGAAATAGGAATCATGTTTGCTTAGAAATCACATGTGGTGCCAGTGTCCCGTGCTCGATGAACTCAGTGTTGGAAGACAGTTGAGGGGTGGTGTAATTTATGTCTAATTCTCACAGAAATTGCATCTGTGTAATTTTTTTTTTTTTTAGATTGGATAATATGGTATATTTTGAAAGTAGTTTAGAGAGGAAAAAAAAAGGGATCCACCTCCCCCAGACTGAGGAGGGGACCAGAGCTTACAGAGAAGCATAGTAGCCACATCTGTGTCATTCTAAAACATCTGACATGAAAAAGGAATTTTAGGCTGACCCTAGTAACTCCTTGTTCCTTCATTGTGAATTCTTCCTTAACTAATAGATGAAAGCAGATAAGAGTACATTTTACTTATTCTTTGGTGGTGGTTTTAAAACAAATTACCTGGAAAAGTCCAGTAATAGATTTTTGAAAATCAAATTAATGTGTTACTTTATTTTATTTATTTTTTATTTTAAAGATGTGGAGTACAATTCAGGGTTAAGTATACAAAGATTCATTATGCAGATACCCTTGTTGATGAGGTGTGCCCCCTCCCCCCAATGTGTTATTTTAAACAGAGAAGACTTTAACAGAAAACGTTTTAAAATTGATTTTCTAATTTTCAAATTTAAAGCTATAAGCTTATTTAACATTTCATATCTGCACAGTCAGTGGAATATTTCACATAGTAACACTGTTGACATTGTTGTTATTATGATTGTTATTATGATTTCCATAGACGTTTTTGCACAGCAAAGAAAAGGAGATGATGTGTGTGAGTGAGCAGCTCCAGGCCCATCAGGGGGGAACAGGGAGCAGAGCTCTCAGCGAGGTAAGTGTCCCTCCACGCCTCACACACATATGCTGGGAGAAAGGGGATCTGTCTTATACCTCCAGCTATGCTTGCATCTTCTGTGTTAAAGTTTCTAAGTATGATTGACAGGGCCTCTGGCTTTCTAGGATAACAGTCCTGTTTCCTTACATAATGTTTATAATACTTTTAAATCAATTTTGGAGGAGGGTGTAAGGATGATGTGGGACCATAGGGTTAAAAGAACGTTGTCTGCAGTTTTTCACTTCTCATTTTCCTATGAGTCTACTGGGATATTAATGACCTATGTTTATATCTTGTATATTTGGCAAAATTTTAAAAATTCTTTTGTGTTACTTTGAGGAGTAACTTTAAAACCAGTGATTCATTTTTACAAGAAGATTGTTATCTATTACTTTTCCTTAAGGTTCTTAGAATTTGTCATGTGAATATAATTTTATATAATGAAAATATATTAAGAATTTATGTAATAAGGATAATATTTTAGTTCCTTTAAGAATAGAAAACTTGGTAAAGACAATCCCAAATATTTTTTGGGGGGATTTTTTTTTTTTCTGGATATGTGCAAATTTGTACATCCTTTATTTTCTGTAATTTTTCTAGTTTTTTGTAAAGGTATGAATGTTATTTTGTTTTGCTTTAAATAATAAATGAAACTAAAATTCTGTTTAAAGGGCTGACTCTTGTCAAGTTTTCAATTCTTTGAAGGAATAGTTGATGTTTTCTACCCCTATTTTATATTAGTAAAGATTTTGTCTTCTAGAGGCATTGTGTCCTTCAGGCTTGTTGGGGAAACTGAGCTCCCTGTCACTGTTGACATGATCATCGTTGTTGTCACTTGCTTTGTGCCACCATCTCCTGCAGTTCCAACCATTCTGATACCTTTATCAACATGTGTCCTCCCTTTCTGTGTTGCTTATTTTAACACTGGCATTAGTGACTTTTAAAAAATGTTATCATTTAATTTTCCCTTATTCTATAGTGTATCAGTAAAGTGGTCTTATACCTCTTTTGTTAAATTTATCCTTAAATATTTCAGGTGTTTTGTTTTTGTTTTTGTTTTGAGTCAGAGTCTCATTCTGTCGCTCAGGCTGGAGTGCAATGGCATGCTCACAGCCACCGTAGTTGCTGCCTGCTGGGCTCAGATGATCCTTCCGCTTCAGTCTTCCAAGTAGCTGGAACTACAGGCATGTGCCATCACGCCTGGCTAATTTTTTGATTTATTATAGAGACAAGATCTTGCCATGTTGCCCAGGCTGATCTTGAGCCTGTGGGCTCAGGCAATCTTCTTGCGTCCGCCCCCAAAGTGCTGAGATTACAGGTGTGAGCCACCGTGCCCAGCTTATTTTAGGTTTTTTTTTAGATTTAAAATAATTCACTGTCTAGTTGTCTATCATGAGTACACACATACTAAACACAACTTTTAACTTTGCCAAATTTATGTATATTAGTAGTGTTTTGTGGATTCCATTGGACTTTTTTTTTTTTTTTGAGTTGGAGTCTCACTCTGTCGCCCAGACTGGAGTGCAGCCTTGACCTGCTGGGCTCCGGCAGTCCTTCCGCCTCAGCCTTCCAAGTAGCTGGAACTACAGGCACGCGCTACCACGCCTGGCTAATTTTTGATTTATTGTAGAGATGAGGTCTCACCAAGTTGCCCAGGTGGGTCTCGAACCCACGGGCTCAGGCAATCCACTCACCGCAGCCTCCCAAAGGCGTGGGATTACAGGCTGAGCCACCGAGCCCGGGTTCCATTGGACTTTTTATGTGTAAAATACACTATCTTTAGATAAAGATAGTTTTGTTTCTTTCCTATCTTCATCTTTTTCTCTAGTACTTTCAATACAGTCTTAAAACTAGCAAAAGCAATCATTCTTGTCTTGTTCTTGATCTTATGGGGAAGTTTTTGGTGTTTCACCATTAAGTATGTTAGCTGTAAATTTTTCATAGATGTCTTTTTATGTTCCCTTATACTTCTGGCTTGCTTTTTCTGAATCTGTATTATTTTTCCTTTTTATTCTAATGGTAGTAATTACATTGAGTGTTTCTTTTCTTTTCTTTTTTTGAAGTTAAACCAACTTTGCATCCTTAAGATAAAAGAAACTGCCAAACTGTTTTATGTAGTTTCTCTACCATTTTACATTTCTACCAGCAATATATGAGATTTCCAGTTACCATATCCTCATCAGCACTTGGTGTGGCCAGTCTTTTTTTTTTTTTTTTTTTTAATCTTTATTTATTTTAGAATGGTGGGGGCATATATGAGAATTTGTTACATAGGTATATTGCATGAAGGCAAGGTTTGGGCTTCTGGTGAGCCCTCCTTCCCCTACTTCTCCATCCTCTGTCAGTGGTGAGCATTGTACCCAGTGGGTGGTTTTGTATCCCTTATCCCCCCTGTTTTTTATCAGTGCCAAGTGTCTGTTGTTCCCATCCCGTGCTTGTGTGTGCCCAGTGTTTAGTACACGGCCTTTGTTTGTAATTTTAGCCATTCTAGTAGTATATCCTTGTTGTTTTAATTTGTATTTCCCTTATGACTAATGATCTTGAGCATCTTTTCATGTATTTATTTGCCACCCATGTTGTGGTAGAATGTGTGTATCAATCTTTTGCAAATTAAAAGAAAATTGATTTATTTTATTGTTGAGTTTTGGGAATGTTTTATAACTTTTGAACACAGGTTTTTTTTTTTAATACATGATTTGGAAATATTTTCCCCCACTCTCTAGCTTGTCTCTTTATTCTCTTAACTATGTATTTCACAGAGCAGAACTTTTTATTTCCAGTGAAGTCTCCTTCATTAATTTTTAAAAATGGATTATGCTTTTGGAGTTGTATATGAGAGTTCTTTGCCTAACCCAGTAATATGACAAAGATATTCTCTTGTTTTCTCTTAGAAATTTTATGGTTTTACTTTGCATTCAGGTCTTTGATATACTTTAAGTTTATTTTTTATTTTTTTTTTAGTTGGAGTCTCACTCTGTCACCCAGACTGGAGTGCAGTGGCCGCTCCTGGCCACCACAGCCTCGACTTGCTGGGCTCCGGCGATCCTTCCGCCTCAGCCTTCCAAGTAGCCGGAATTACAGGCATGCACTACCACGGCCGGCTGATTTTTTGATTTATTGTAGAGATGAAGTCTCGCTGCCCAGGTGGGTCTGGAACCCGTGGGCAGGCAATCCACTCACCTTAGCCTCCCAAAGGCGCGGGATTACAGGCTGAGCCACCAAGCCCGGCTAAGTTTATTTTTTATCACATACATGTTCAGTTATTTCAGTACCTTTTGTTGAAAAACTGTTCTTTTTCAATTGAAATTGCCTTTGCACCTTTCCTGAAAATCAGCTAGCTGTATTTGTTTGGATCTGTTTTAGAACTCTCTATTTAGTTCTGTTGTTCTAAGTTTTTCTTTCTCTCTTTGTTAATACCACACTCTCTATTGTAGTTTTTTAGTAAATCTTGAGATATCATAATATGAGTCCTTTCTGCTTTCACAAAATTGCTTTGACTATTTAAAGCCTTTGACTTCCCATGTAAATCCCATATAATTTTTGAATCAAAATGGCAATATCTACAAAAAAAAAAAATCCTGCTGGTATTTTGGTTAGCATTGCATTGAATCTCGATTGATTTGGAGAGAATTAACATCTTAACAATATATGTCTTTCACTCCATGAACATGATACAACTCTCCACTTCATTTGTTTTCTTAGATTTCTTTTATTGGTGTTAGGTAGTCTTCAACTTAAATATCTGCATATATTTTGTTAGATTTATACCTATATGTTTTATTTTGTTGTGGAGCGATTAAATGATATGTTGATTTAATCTTGAATTCTAATTGTGTATATAATTGTAATCTAGTATATGTAATTATTAGTGATTTTTATATACTAACCTGTGTCCTATGACCTTGCTAAACTCACTTATTAATTGTAGGGGCTTTCTTTGTTGATTATTTGAGATTTTTGAATGTAGACTGTCATGTCATCTGCAAATAGGGCCAATTTAATTTTCCACCTTTCCAATATGTATGCTTTTTGTATCCTTCTCTGACTTTATTGTACTAGCTAGGACTCCCAGTATTGTGTTGAGTAACGACAGTAGAATGGACTTTTTTTGCTTTGTTTCAGATCTTATGGGAAAATATTCAGTCTTTCATCAGAAAGTTTGATGGTAGCATTAGGCTTTTTTGAGAGATTATTTATCAAGTTGAGGAAGTTTTTTTCTTTTTAAAAAATATTTATCATATTTATTATGATTTTGCTTATTCCATTGTTCAACTTTTCATTTTGTAGTTCCACAGCTTCTTCTGTAATATAACATTCACAGAAGGAAGTTCTTTTCTGTACCCTGTTTTCTGAGAGTTTTAAATCAAGAATGGTATTGAATTTGCTTAAGTAATTTTTCTTCATCAACTGATAATAGTTGTGTGATTTTTCTTCTTTAGCCTGTTACTATGACAGGCTTTGTTGATGAGTTTTCAAATATTGAACCAGCCGTACATCCCTGGAATAAACCCTCTTTGGTCATGGTGTGTAATTCTTTTATATTGCTGAATTCTATTTACAAATATTTTGTTAAGAAGTTATGCATTTCGAGAACAGCCTGGGCAACTTGGCAAGACCTCATCTTTACAATAAATCAAAAATTAGCCAGGTGTGGTAGCACATGCCTATAGTTCTGGCTACTTGGAAGGCTGAGGCAGAAGGATTGCCTGAACCTAGCAGATTGACACTGGGGTGGCCGTGAGCATGCTACTGCACTCTAGCCTGGGTGATGGAGTGAGACTCCAACTCAAAAAAAAAAAAAAAAAAAAAAAGAAGTTATGAATCTACATTCATCAGAGATAATTGGTCTGTAGTTCTCTTGTGATTGTCTGGTTTTGGTGTTGGGGTAATATTGGTTTTGTTGAATGAATTGTTCCCCCTTCTTCTATTTTCTGGGAGATTGTGTAAAATTGGAGTTATATATTCCTTAAATGTTGAGAAGAATTGTTCAGGGAAGCCATCTAGGCCTAGTGAGTTCTTTTATTAGGTTTTTAAAATTACAGATTCGGCCAGGCATAGAGGCTCACACCAATCCCAGCACTTTGGGAGGCCCAGGTGAGAGGATGCCTGAACCCACAGGTTGGAGACCAGCCTGGGCAACTTGGCGAGACCTCATCTTGACAATAAATCAAAAAATTAGCCAGACATGGTGGCAAGTGCCTGTAGTTCCAGCTACTTGGAAGGCAGAGGTGGAAGGATCGCCTGAGCCCAGCAGATTGAAACTATAGTGGCCATGAGTGTGCCACTGCACTCCAGCCTGGGTAACAGAGTGAGACTCCAACTGAAAAAAATAATAAAAAGAAATTATAGATTCAATATCCCTACTAGTTGTAGGGTTATTCAAATTAATGTCTATACTGAGAAATTTTTAATTATTTATTGAGGGTTTTTTCCCTGCCTGACTCTTTTCTTCCAGGGCTCCAATTATAGACATACCCCACCTTTTCCATTATCCCATGGATATTTGAGGTTGTGTGCATTTTCAAAATAATTTTTTCTCCTTCTTTTCCTCTAATGGGATAATTTCTATGGTTTTTTTAAGTTTGTAGATTGTCATGTCCAGTATTTTCTTAAGCCTACAGAGTGCATTTTAAAATTTCATGTATTATAATATTTAGTAGTAGAATTTTTCTTTATCATTTCTATTCTTCTGCCAAGATTTTCCTGTCTTTTTGTTTATTGTGAGCATAGTTCTTTTATGTCCTTGAACACAGTTATAACATCTGCTTTAACATCTTTGTTCGAGCGTCCTTGTCATCTCAGGGTTGAATGTCATTGATTGTCTTTTCTCTTCAAAATTGGTCACACATTCCTGATATTTTTGTGTATATTTGGAATAATTGTAATTTGAATCTTTGACATTCTGCAAGTTATGTTGTGGGTACCCTGGCTTCTGAAGCATGTTGAGGTTTTGTTTTAGTGGTAGTCAGCTTGGTTAGATTCCAAGTGTACACTCTGTCTTGCCTGCAGAGGTCGTGATCCATTTCCCTACCCATGTTGTGGCAATGGCCTGAGATGTGGACAGAGTCCACACATGGAGCATGGGTTCGCCTTCCCTAGTTCTCTGTCTTTCTTGACACAACTCTTACTCCTTACTGCCTGGCTGCCCTGCTCCTCCTGGCCTCATCTAGTTGTGCTGCCCAAGGGCATAACTTCAGACACAGAGCCTCCCCTGTCTGGTGGTCTGTGCTGTGTACCAAGTCCCCTGTACAACCTACTGGGCCCACAGACAGATGGAGTGTGACCTGTTGGAGTCAATGAAGATGCTTCTGAGTAACCTCTGTCTCCACTGCATGTGGAACTCTATCCTTGATCTGAAGTCTCCCTTGCCTGGCTTTGCTCTTGCCCCTGCATGTCCCCCTGCTGGTGCTGACTTTCCATCAGAGCTGTGTTTGCTGAGCGAGTAGCACTCTTTTGGTAAGGTGCCACTTCTAGGTAAAGTGAACATGTCTTCACTGCCCTGTCCTGGAAGGAAACCCAATGTGTGTGCTCCTACTGTGGCATCTACTCCTTCCCTTAGTTCTGCTACCTAAAGTTGTTTTCCTCTTTCTTCTGGCACCTTCACCTGCTTTTGTCTCTTCTTTATGCTGTTCCGGTTGCACTGTATTTTGGAGGACTGATTTTAGATTTTAGTGTTTTACATTATAGAGCCATGTTTGTTTGCTGGCTCCAGTATTTTAAGTGTAATGTTTGTTTTGTGATTGTGACTGTTTGGGATTACATGCCCTTTTAATACATTCCAGTGTATTTAATACATTTAGTGAGTGAGCAAAAATTGCATACTGTCAGAATTATCTTTAAAAATTTCTTCACTTTCCCGTAAAGTACAGAGACATGGGTCTGTGTAGAACATGGTAAGGAACATGCAAGAGAGCTGAATGTGAGATAGAAGGATCAGGGCTTTCAGTTCAGAATTTTATTTTGTTAGATGTATAATACTGCATTCACGTGTGGTAAATACATGCGTAGTGTACAGCTGATTACATCAAAACCAAACCAAGGATTGCTCAGCTTTCTTTTTTTTGTTTTACTCTGGGCTAGGTTTGTATTTGACTTCAAAGCAGTTGTGAAGAAGTTCTAGTGAAACTATAAGTTGTTCTGAAACCCTCTATTTTTTGGAAAAACATAAGACTATAACAAATTGTTTGAAAATTGTTAGAACACAAACCAGTTAGAATTTTTCCACTTTTTGGTCTCTATCAGTAACAGCTTAAGAGAATAGTTTGGAGCCATATTGACTTAGATTTCAATCCTGATTTTCCATGTAAAAATACTATTACTTCCACTTTAAAGATAGGAAAATTGTGACATAGATATTAAACATTTTTCCAAAGATGTTAGGATATTGTGGATTTGAAAAGATATTTAATATATATGTCGCAATTTTCCTATCTTTAAAGTGGAAATAATGATATTTCTTAACTTAAAGTTGTTGAGGATTAGGTTAAATGGCACAAGTAAGCACGTTCTTTGATGCCTGGTGTATCTAGACAGCATTGATAGAAACACCTGTCATCATGCGCAGCCTCAAGGAACAGAAGGAGCAGTGTGCCCATGGCTCATTCACCTTTTCTAGCCAATTTTCTCACTTTTATTCCCAAGTTAGACACCTGAAATCTAATGCTTCTGTGGGAAAAACAAACACGTCAAGGTCATCTAAATATTAACAAATCAACATTTAAAGGGTGGTGGAAGCACTATTATTTAGATGCCCTTGAGTGAAAAGTGGCCAAACAAATTACAGCTTCCTCGTGCCTGGACACTGATGTGCTATGTTGGATGTGTGGTGTTGGGAAGGCAGCTGGGGAGTTGTAGGTTCTGGCCCTCCAGCACTGGGCATTTCCATACGTTGAGTAAGTTGGGTAACACCATAGTTTGTTGGATGCTTGTTTGTTTTTCAAGCTGTCAAGTCTCTCTACTTCTCCAAGAATGAATTCAGACTAAAATGTTCTGAAGGAGGGAAATTCTGAAGTGGGTACATTTAATTTGCTTCTGAAATATGCTTCTCTTCAGGTTGTATACACCCGCAGTTCTGAGATTGAAGAGCTGAAAGCCCTTGTTGAAAATTTGCAAGAAAACCAAGAGCGGTTGCAGAAGGACAAAGCAGAAGAAATTGAACAGCTCCATGAAGTAATTGAGAAGCTGCAGCGGGAGCTGGCCCTCATGGGGCCTGCGGTGCATGAAGTCAGCAACAGTCGGGCAGACAGTCTGCATAGTGAACTGCTCAGTTCCCAGTCAGTGGGACCTCGTGTTCAGGCACTGCAGGCTGAGCTTGAGGCTGCACTTGCAGCCCAGGAGGCCCTGAGTCGACTGCTGGCTGACAGGGAGCGTGGGCATAGCCAGGCTCTGGAGGCCCTGCAGCAGCGCCTGAGGGGTGCAGAGGAGGCCGCAGCCCAGCAGCTGGCTGAGCTGGGGCGCAGTACAGCCCTCAGGGAGGCTGAGACTGAGGGTATGGCCTCCCGGATCCGCGAGTTCGAAGCTGCCCTGAAAGCAAAAGAAGCGGTGATTGCCGAGAGAGATTTGGAAATTGATGCGATGACCCAGCGAACTGTGGCCCACTGCACTGAGCTGGAGGGTGTCCTATCCGCCCTGGCCCATGTGCGCTGCACCCTGGAGCAGCTGCCTCTGGCCACCTCAGATGAGCCTCCTGAGTTGCAGCGTCTCCGCATACAGTGTATCCGCCTCAGCCGCCAGCTGCATGTATTGAACCAGCACTTCCTAAGGTGCCAGCTGGAACTGGACAAGCAGCAGGCCTGTGGGGCTGCAGCCCACATGCAGATGCCTCTAAGGGAGGGCTGCATTGAGCCGCGAGTGCCCAGGGATGCAGAGGCCACCTGTGATGACATGCTGCAGAGGGGTGTTGGCGGGAGGCTGACCTTGAGCCCCCATGGCCAGGACCCTGACCCAAGGGTAGGCTCCTACCCATGGAGGCCGTGTTGGGGGTGATGAGGACCCTGAGGACCAGGCAGGGTCAGGGGAGGTTGCATGTTCTTTGAAAGAGACTTTGGGCTTTTTCCTTCCTCTTCTGGTCTTCTTTTAGCTTAATAACTCTTCTCCTTGCTGTGAGGGGTACTGAGGATGCAATTATGGTGGCTCATGATACAGTAGAAAACAACCTGAAACTCATGCCAGCCTGGGCCCATTTAGGATCCATGTGCAGTGAAATTGGGCTGAGGATTTCACTGTTTTGTACCAATGTTAAGATTATTATTATAACTTAAGCTTTTTAAAATGATTCCTTTTTTAATATGATAGGGACCATTCAAAAGATGTGTGGATCACTTTGTGTTAGACAGTCGTTCTTAATTTCCCTCTCTGATTTCTAATCAAATGGTTCTTTTTGAGTCCGAATCTCACTCTGTCGCCTAGTCGGGAGTGTGGTGTCATGTTCTCTGCTACCACAGCCTTGGTTTGCTGGGCTCAGGTGATCCTTCCACCTCAGCCTTCCAAGTAACTGGAACTATAGGCACGAGCCCCCATACTCAGCTAATATTTCTGATTTATTGTAGAGACAAGGTCTCATCAAGTTTCCCGGGCTGGCCTTGAAGCCCTGAGCTCAGGCAGTCCTCTTGCCTCCACCTCCCAGAGTGCTGGGATTACAGGTGTGAGCCACCGTGCCTGGTGGTTCATCTTTTAACAAGCATTTCTTATGTGAAATGCAAGCTCATTTCATTTTTGAACAGAGTATCATACGTGAACCATCTTTTTAAGTATTCCAGTTTGTGTTTGAGCAGAGCTTAAAGCCGTCCCTATCTGTAGCCCCCATACCAACCTGGCTTCTGCTCTTGTATGGCCCAGCCAGCCTTGCTCTGTGGGGTTGCCCTAGCCTGGGCAGCTACCTGCCTTGAGTCTCAGCCTTGTGCCCTGTGCCTGGCTGTGGATGGGGCCATATGCCTTCCTCCAACCTCCCTGGTGGTTGAGGGATGCGCCCCGGCTCTGGGTCATTTGAGGGGCAGCCCCACAGCAGCCTCCTGCACCTGGAGTCTCTGATTGGTTCAATTGTAACCTTGTAACACTGTGTCTGTCTCCACCCAGGAGGACCAGCAGCCTGCCAAGGTCCTGGTGACATTGAAGGATGCAGGGATCCATAGACAGGAAAGGCTGATGTCAGTGCTCACCATCTGCCAGCGGCGGCTACAGTCAGAGCTTCTGTTGGTGACAAATGAGATGTGCTTGGGTCTGGAGGATGGCGGCAAAGTGTGGGGAAGAACGAAGGTACGGCTCGTCTGGGATTGCCAGGCTTGGTTTCCGGGGCAGGAGCCAGCCAAGCACCGTGATTTCCTCTGTGCTTGGTTTAAGGCACTTGAGAAATTCACGTTTCCCTCAGTGCACTGAGATTTCCTCTGTGCTTGGTTTAAGGCACTTGAGAAATTCACGTTTCCCTCAGTGCAAGCATCTTGCAAAAAACCAAGGCAGTTATTTTTCCTTACAATTGGTGGAAATGGATTAATGGTTCTTGGGTTGGTCTCAAGGGTTTTTTCAGTTGAGGACCACGGCGCCACTACAGGTCTTACCCCATCTCAGGACCTTCATGGCTATTATCTGTTATACTTTGAAAAGCTTTAGATTTATTTTTTGAACTTCTGGTTTTTTTCCCTCCATATTTTCACTTGAAGATAAGTTGATGTTTTCTTTTCTAGGGAGGAGGCTGCACCTCAGCAACCTCAAATTGTAGCAGCATCGAGATTTAGCAAGAAGGGTGGTACCAATGCCTCTCTCGCCCTTGCACCGTAGTCCAGCCCCCAACCCTTCCTGGAAGCCTGTGCTGGGAGTGGCCGGAGCTACTCCCTGTCCTCGTGGTGTGTCAGACATGCTTCCAGTGGCACCCTTTGATACCTACACCTGTGCAGTTCCTGGTTGGTCTGAGGCCCTGACAGTCAACCTCTCTTATTCTCCTCCCTGCTGGCTGCATAATGGGCCCCTGGCTCCTCGTTTAAGTTCTGACACCTAGAGGCTGTAAAACCAAAAGTGGTCATTGGTTTCTTTGTGGTTTCAAGTGCAGTGCCAGAGTATACTTGGTGCTGGAGCCTTTCCACACCCAGGCTCTTCTGAGCCCCTCACAGCCCTGGTGTCACACATGTGGCTGGGATGTTTCAGGCGTGAGTGGAGCTGCCGCCCCCCCACCCAGGCACACATCTGCCATGTGCTGCATGCTTGCACTTCAGTGGCTGTAAGGCCTGAAAGAGTCTGAATTCCATGGACACTGGTAGGCCTTCAGGGAAGGTTGTGGTCCAGGCCTCCAGTTTTGAGATGCCTAACTTGGGTCCTATGTTTGTCACTTGCCCTCAGGAAATACATTCTGTAGAGACAAGCTTTCACATCTCAGTGTGGCACATGATCTTACTGCCCTTGTGAGAGAAACGGCTGTTTGAATTCTTAAGAGCAATCCCAGACCGTGACATCAGAGCGGACTGACAGGTTCTTAGAAACTATACACAGGCTGGACACAGTGACTCATGTCTGTAATCCCAGCACTCTAAGGCTTAGGTGGTTAGGTGAGAGAATTGCTTGAGGCTAGGAATTGGAGACCAGCTTGTGCAACATAGTAAGACCTTGTCTCTAATTTTAAAAAAAGTATCTGGATATGGATATGGTGTGCACTTAGAGTCCCAACTACTTGGGTGATTGCAGTGGGAGGACAGCTTGAACCCAGGATTGGGAGGTGCAGTGAACTATGATTGTGCCCCTACATTCCAGCCTGGGCAACAGAGTGAGATCCTGTTTCAGAAAACAACAAAAAAGAAGCTACACATTGACAAAGAACCTCCAGTTTCATCACATCAAACACATTTTGTGTTTTTCAGGATTCAGACATAAAACCTTCTGTCAGTCCTTTTTTTCACACACAAAAAGTTGGTGTTTTCAGTAACAGATAGGTAATGACGATTGCATTTTAAGCAAAGAGATTTAAACCTTGATTCTGTTTTTATGGAATAAATAATTTTGACATGTTAGACATTTCAGGGCTCATCATGGAATCTCACCTGAGTGCTCAGACGCTTCTTGAAATCAGCTCATAAACACCAGACAGATAAGTGGGAGACTCCCTGTCAGTCATTTTACTATGAGCATATTCTTTTTTACCTACAGGGTAAGGAGAAAGTACTGGAAGATTGTCAGTTACAGAAAGTCAACCTCATAGCTCAAGTGAAGCAACTTCAAGAAAAACTGAGCCATCTGATGTATTCTGTGACCTTCCAGGACTCAGACACCACAGATGTTCAAGTTCAGCAGCCATTGGCATTGGCACATGTGTTAGAAAGTAGTTCCAGTGATAGTTCTTGTGATGGCGAAGAAACAGACAAATTGCCTCCTGTTGGTGCATTTAATATTGATAAAACCACTGGGGATCTGGTCGATGTTACTAAAAATCAGAATTCTTTGATAAGAAATGGAATACCACATTTGCCTATTCAAGAAGAATCGGAGTCGCAGGATGAGCCCTGGTCTTCACAGACTGGTGTGCGCAGTGGCTCCCACGGCCTGAGCGGTGCCCAGGAGGGTGAGACCCTGAAAAGCCCAGTCCGGGTTTTGGATCTGTCTTTCTGGAGCTCCCCTGAGGTCCTCAGGAAGGATTCAACCCTCGAGCCACGGCCCAGCCTACCCCTGACACCCTGCTCAGGAGCTTTGAGCCTGCGCAGTGCCGACACGTCCCCACAGGATAGGCGGGAGACCTCACTGCTGCCACCTGACCAGCTGGGGTCGCTTTGTTACCCGGGTGTATCCGCAGTGTCACTGGTCCAGCAGTGGGCAGAATCTCTACCAGCTGTCCACCATCGTGAGGAGAGCACAGCTATGGTAAGTGCCTCCTTACCTCTGGCCCCATGTGCCCTGGCAGTGTATGACTCACCTAACATCACAGCAGCTACCATTGTTGCTTCATCTGGCAGTGGAGGCACCTCACAGTCCTGGTGGGACCAACTTTCTGCAGTACTGTTGTCATGGGGATGAATGGGTTACTCCAGCCACTGAAAACCAAGAGGTGCCTCTGCCCTCCTCAGACATTCACTCTGAGCGTGTCTCTTAACTGGTGCCGATTCTGGGGAGCACAGTCACAAGTCCACCTTATATACTTTGCATAAGGATTCTCTGTCTAGAATATGGTTTTTAGATTTATTTTTAGTGGTGTCTCATATTTAACAGGTTTTACATATAATGCTAATTGATTTTAAGAGAACTCTTATTTTTGAGTTAGATAGTATTTTTCTCTAACATAATTATTTTGGAGTTTTGTGTATCTTGAGTAAGATAAGATGAAATATAATTTAGCAGGTACATATTATCTAAGATACCAATACTCTATCACTTCATGGAAAAAATTTTTAAATCAAAAATTTGCTAGTGGCTTCCCTAAAATACTCCTCAAAAGTTGTGGTTGAATCTGATTAAATTATTAGAAGCCAAGATGGGAAGATTGCTTGAGCTCAGGAGTTTGAGATCAGCCTAGGCAACATAGTGATACCTCATCTCTACAGAAAATAAAAAACTTAGAGGGGTATGGTGACGTGTGCCTATATTCTTAGCTACTCAGGAGGCTGAGGTGGAAGGATTGCCTGAGCCCAGGAGGTCCAGGCTGCAATGAGCTGTTATTGTGTCACTGCACTCTAACCTGGGTGACCTCTACTCAAAAAACAAAGCAAAACAAAACAAAATATTAGAAGCACACAACCGCAGTGTATTCACAAGTTTGAGTTCTTCATTTCAGTTCTATGTGGGAAGATGATACATTTAGGCCTTAGAAAGTTTTCACTGGTAAGTGCAGCTCTGTGATGTAATTATTCATTATTTTACGACTATTAAATGGTCTCCCTGTCTAAACAGGAGAAAGATGTGGAAGATTTTATCATAACATCTTTTGAGTCTCAAGAAACATTAAGTTCACCTCCTCTTGGATTAGAAGGAAAGAACAATGGACATGGAAAAAGTGAGTTGGTTATCCTTTTTTAAACCTTACTTCAGCAGTTTCAGAGCACATGTTTGCTGTGTTTGCCCATCCCTAGCCCCTAAACTATGCTATCAGGGACGGGCCTGGGGCTGCTTGACTCCTGAGGACTTTGCTGTGAGTTTCATACAGCCAAAGTTGCAGGCTGCAGGACCCCAGGATATTTGCCTTGATCAAGGCAGGTGTCTGGCTGCACACCTCTAGATTTTGCCAGTTGTCCTCATAATGTCCTTACAGAAAAGACACCCCAACTCACACCTTGTGTTTACATGTTCTTGGCTGAGGTAAGACTGGGGAGAGGTGCCTGGGCTCATGGGTAATGTGCCCTTCCCCCCACCCCCTCAGGCCTAGGGTGCTGTGTTCTTAGCAGTGTCCTGATGACTGAACTTTTGCTCAGGTGCTGACTCACTCTTCCTTCTGTCCTCTTCATGTGTAACATCCCTGTCTTTAGATTTCAAGACACACTTGGAGTAGCAGTGGTGACTTTGCAGTGATGTTTTTGTGATCGTGCATGGGGTGCTGTGTTCTTGTTTGTTTTGAGTCAAGATCTTCGTCTGTTGCTCATGCTGGAGCACAATAGTGCAGTCGTGGCTTACTATAGCCTTGACCTCCTGTGCTCAAGAGATCCTCCTGCCTTAGCCTCCTGAGCTCCTGGGGCTATAGATGCGTGCCCCCACGTCTGGCTAAGTTTTTTTTATTTTTTAATTTTTTGTAGAGACAAGGTCTTGCTACGTTACCCGGGCTGGTCTTGAACTCCTGGGCTCAAGCAGTCCTCCTGTCTTGGCCTTCCAAAGCACTGGGATTACAGGTGTGCGCCCCTATGCCCAGTTTAGGATGCTGTATTCTTTTTTTTTTTTTTTTTGAGTTGGAGTGTCACTCTGTCGTCCAGACTGGAGTGCAGTGGCCGCTCCCGGCCACCGCAGCCTCTACCTGCTGGGCAATCCTTCCACCTCAGCCTTCCTAACTGGAACTACAGGCGCACGCTGCCACACCTGGCTGATTTTTGATTTATTGTAGAGGTGAGGTTTTGCTGCCCAGGCGGGTCTCGAACCTGCGGGCTCAGGCATTCCACTCACCTCAGCCTCCCAAAGGCATGGGATTACAGGCTGAGCCACCAAGCCCGGCTGGATGCTGTATTCTTAGTAATGTCCTGGTGATTGATTGGTGGGGGGTGCCATGTTCTCCCCTGGCTTCCCGGCAGGTGATATGTGGGGCTGACTTGGGCTCTTTGGCTGTAGTGGTGTCTGCCAGGTTTTCTTCTTGTTTTCACAGGAGATGTAGAGACTGTGAATATTCTCTTGCTTCTCATACTCATGCCCTCTGGTCTTGGCCTCCACTGGCGGTCCTTTCCTGGGTCAGTTATCATCATGGCGGTTATTTGCCAAACTGATTTTTTTAACTTTATAACTTGTTCTATAATTGTTGCCTTTTTATAAGTCAGTCCCTTTCAAGGTATTTTGATTTTTTAAAAAATCATCATTGGCTCTTTCAATATCTGAGAACAAGGTCACAATGAAATATAGTTAATTAGACATTTTAGCATTGCAGAATAGGACCAGTTTTAATTTTTTATTTATTCCATGTCATAAGCATGTGGCTAGAGATGTTGGGGTTCTGGAAAATGCTTTCCTGCACAACTGTGTTCAGGCTTCTGACTCTGGATCGTGATTCCCTGGGGACGTCTGTGTTCCACTTTCAGGAGTGTCTTGTACTGACTTTATGTTCAAATCACATTTGCTATTTAAGATGACATGTTTAGGCTTCTCGCAGTGACCCACTCACTCTGCTCACTGCCTCACACGGTGCCGGTCTACATGCACTATCCTGTCCCAGCTGAGTGTTGCGCTCTACAGCAGAGCCATCCTGTGTGCATCCCTTGACCACTCTCGCTTTCCTTTGCTATTTCCTCTGAGTTCTCTGTTGCTGGTCTTCTCATGCCTACTAGGCATGCATCTGAGGGCAGCAGGTGCCCTGTCCACTCTACCCTGGGAGTTCCTGGTGTGCCCCTTCTCCTTCCTTTGATGGTCCCTTATTTATTTTTTTGAGTCAGAGTTTCTCTCTGTCTCCTAGTCTGTAGTGCAGTGGTATGATCACGGCTCACTACAGCCTTGACCTTTTGGGCTCAGGCGGGCCTCTCACCTCAGCCTCCCAAGTGACTGGGACTACAGGTGTGCACCACCATACCCTAGGCTGGGCTGCCTAGGCTGCCTACACTGATAGTCACTTATTTAATGAAGCATGTTCCTTAGATGCTTCTGGAGGTCTGTGGGAGGTGCTTGCTTTTTTCTTCCTGGTTTGTTAGTAGTTTTGCCTGGGTGCAGACTCCTGAGTTTAAGCTGTGCATGTCTTTGTCCCACAGCTCTTTACCCTCTGGTGACGATTGCAGTCTTGGTGGGGCCTGCCCAGTTGAGGTACATGTCCATCAGCTCAGAGAATTTCTCCTTCATTCTTTCTCTGGTCATTTCTCCATGGTTTTCTCTCTCGGCTGGTCTCGAACTCCTGGGCTCAAGCAATCCTCCTTCCTCTGCCTCCCAAAGTGCTGGAATTATAGGCATGAGCTACTGTGCTCAGCCCTATGTTCTAATTTCCAAGAGAGTTTTTTTTTAAACTTTATTTCTTAACCTTTTTACTGAATGTTTGTATTTCAGCTCTCATAATATAAATTCCTAAGAGTTCTTTTTTATTTCTTATTCCCTGACTATACCTTTCTCTTATCACTTCATTTCCTTCATGAATGGTATGCCTCCTCTCAGGTCTCTGAAGATATTAATTATAAATTTTCTGAAGTTTTTTTCTGTTTGTGCATTTGGTACTTATTTCTTCCTAGCATGTTCTGTTTCATTCTGTGTCTTTTGTTAGGATGTTTTCTGTGTGTGTCTGAGCACTTAGACTGAGCTCCACTTATCAAGGATTTCTCCCCTCATAGGGGCCCTGCCTCCCTGACGTCCTCATCCCCTACCTGGGTCACGAGATGCTGCTAGAGGTTCAAACTTCCTGAAGGCACCTCCTTCTTGGCTGGGCCTCCTGTACTCTGACACATTCCTGCCTCCATTTCCAGAGCTCCTGCCTGCAAGCTTCCATGGGCTGGCATGGGCTATGTGCCTGAGGCATGGGTCAGGGCCCCGCATATCCTGCGAACTTGTGAATTCTGTTTTAAGGCCCTGTTTCCATCAGACACAGGAGCCTCACCAGGTTCTAGACCTGGTCAGTATTGCCCATACTCCTTCATGTAAGGTACCTTCAACTTTTCTGAGCAGACACAGGCTATAGTCCACCTGCCTGCCCAGTGTTCTCATGGCTGGGAGTGGAGGGCACAGGCCTGTGCACGTCCAGCTGCCCTCAAGGTTGTGTTGGGTTGTGTTGTCTTTAGGGGATGAGGAACAGCACAGCTGTGTCTGTGGAGAGATAAGCTGGATATCTGTAAGGAGTATGCCTAAATCTCAGATGTTAACATGTTAAACATGTAAAATATGTGTCATTCTCTTCTTAATTTTTTTTCTTTTTTATTATAAAGATGTGGGGTACAATTCAGGGTTAGGTATACAAACGTTGATTATGCAGGTACCCTTGTTGATGAGACGTGCCCCTCCCTCCCCTAAAAATGTTTTCACTGTCTTTGGTGGCCTGTCGACATTTTCTCTGCCAGTGGTGCCACATCGTGGTTGTACCTAGGCATTTGGGGTCCCATTGTGCCTGCCCTGTGTTCTGCAGTATTTGCTGCAGAACCCACAAGAGAGCTATGGTTTCAGACTCTGATCCTATAGTGTTTTTAGGTGATGGCTCAGGTTTTGGAGTCATACTGAGTCCGGGGTCTGGAGACCCTGAGGCTCCCACTGCTGGTCGTGTGGCCCCTGCTTCCATTTCCAGAAGGTTCCAACTGCTGCCAGAAGCCATGAAGGAGAAGGAAGTCCATCCAAAGCATGTGCAGGTAGGGGCTTGCATGGGGTGGGCTGTGTCTCATTGAGTTCTACACCTGGACTGCTCTGTCAGCTCAGGCACTATCCTGGTTTTATGCCTCATGGGAGCGTTTCTGGCAGAGGGATGTCAAGCAAATGTTCTGGCTGAGAGTCTGGGAGGCTCTGGGTGCAGTGGCCCCAGAATGGGAGCAACTTTTCCTGTGACACCCTGAGTGTCCATGTTTTACTGAATCACAAGAGGGACAGAGCTAGGGTTTATATTCGGCATCCTGAATGTAGTTGTTAACTGGCAACCCTCTATTGGGAGGTGATGGTGTTTTGTTTTTTGTTTGGTTTTGGAGACAGACCTTAGGGGTGGGACTGGTAACTGGGCCAACTTTGGCCTCTGTGGGAGCAGCGTGTGGGAGTGTTACATGCTGCTCTCAGGAGCCACAGAGTTGCTGGTACTGGTGGCTGTGGGGCCGTGTGGAGGAGAGCAGTGTTGTCATCCCTTCTGGAGGAACTCACTGGATTGCCTTATCTCTCTGCTTTTTGTGATTTTCCTAACAGTGGCTCTTGAGAAGGGACCATTTGTCTTGGCGCTGGGCGTGGCTGATGGGCTGTCTCTACCCAACTTCCCAGTAGCAATGGGGACATGAATTTTCACAGGCACCCCACAGTTCAGCTCGGTGTCCCCAGGTTCCCCAGCCATGCCTGCTTCTTGGCTCTCCCAGCAGCCAGCTAGTCCTGCCTTGCTTCTCGGTATCTGATAGAAAAGGCAGATTCTGTCCAGAAGTGCATCCTGCCCCATCAAGGGGCCCTCCCTTCCATGCTGGCCTGAGAAGGTATCCTCCTATCTGGGTGGGGAGTGCCTGCAAGCCAGTGGGGATGTGGTTCTGGGTCACAGCCAGCTGCCCGTGTCCAGCTGCAATCTATGGAGGAACCTGCTGTGGACTGAGCAGCTTCTCTTAAGAGGTGGAGAGAAGCCATGCAGCTGAATTATGAAGGCAGAATTTCACAGAACTTTTTTCATAGGTTTTCATAGGCCATTTTATGACAAAACCACTGGAAAAAAACTTGACTAAATAAGTGAATTATATAATGCCACTATCATGTCTTATTTGAGCAAAGTATTCCAAACAAAATAATCCTGATGTTAATAAAACCTTTTCCAAAATTGAAATTGTACAGTAAGTTCTCATTGCTGTGGATAGATTCTTGGAAAGTGCAACTTTAAGTGAAATGACCTATAACAAAACAAGAGTTAACGTTCCTACTGCATACACTGTGTCCCTTTGCTTAAAGTTGCAGTTTCTAAGAACCTATTCATAGCTTTAAGTGAGGACTTACTATATTCAGAATAAAACATTTACTTTTTTAAGAATGGAAATTGGAGGAATTTATTTTGTTCTATCTGTTTTTTATTTCGTTTTTGGCATTTCCCAAATTTTTGTAAAAATTTTTGTACAATATAAAACATTAAGGAGATGTGTCTGTTAATGTTTTCTATCCAAGCAATCTAATATTGTAATTCCTGATTTTTGAGGAATGCATTTGTTTAATAACAGTTCTGGGAAGGAGTAGGGGAAGGAGAAAGAGGATGGAGGAGGAGGGAAGAGTAGTGGGGAAGAGGACACAAGGGTCCCTTACAAGGGACTCCAGCATCAACTAGAAGTATGACTTTGAAATGTCCTAAGTCCAGTTGAAAAATCATGAAAAGGTGTTTTTGGATAGATTTCTCAGACTTTTTGAAACTTGGCATTTTGCTTTATTGTTTTACATTTCTGGATTATAGTTCTGGAATTCAGAGCACCTCGGATTGTGGGTAACAGCATGGTCAGAGTTACTTGTTTTGTTGGAAGCTGGCTTTGTGTTGTGTGTTGTTTTGGGGGACCACAGGAAGAACCTGTTGCTCAGACATCACGAGCATCTCATAAACAAGTGTGGTGGTGGTTCTGAGGAGGTTGGTGGAAGGTGGGCGAGCCCCCAGGTGAATCCTGGGCAGGGGTGGGGCCACAGTTTGTGCCTGTCACCTCAGGCTGCACCTCGAAATAAGCTGTGAGTTGGGGAGGATGAGTGGTGAGGAATGAGGCCCCCCTACAGGTATAGACAGCTGTGGACAGCCACATGCTGCCAGACCTGGGCTGATACCTTAGTGGAGGCTACAACATGGGAAGCACAATGTCCTCAACAGAGCAGCTTGGTCCTGGGAGTAGAGGCTTGGGAACCTTCTCAACCCTAGTGATTGTGTCCTGGGGTCCCCTGGTGGAAAGAAAGACAGTTGCCTTGTAGACTCAAGTACTGAGACCTGAGCCACTGGCAGGTGTCCCAGTGCCTGCTGGACTCTGCCCCCTCCCATCCTCCTAGGAAACCTGTGCTGCAAAGATTGTCCCCCTGTGGGAAAGCTGGGTTCCAAGGGCCCCATGCTTCATGGGTTTTTTCTTTGGGAGATTAAAAAATAATTGTATAACTTCATTTACTTATTTATTTGGGCTTCTCATCATTCAACTTAAAATGGGAGATGTTTTTAAAAATGCATTTTTCTCCTTGTTACAAAATCCAGAAAAGCACATTAGAACATAGGAAATGGCCCATGGTCTGTAGCCAGGGGTGACTGTGGCCTGAGGCCTCAGGGCCCTCTGGGGTTTGACCTTGATCCTTGAACCCTGGAGACCTGATTTGTACCCATTTTGATGTAAACCACATGCAGGTTGATCTAGCACTTTTATGTTAGTATTTTACTTTTTGGGGTCACATCATTAAAATTTTAGCAAAGCATGTTTCCAGTTAATTAAGTTGTATCCCACCCTAGGCCTTGTCATTGCTTAGTTTTCCATTTTTCTCTCTTTGGCCTTTATTAGTTTATTTTTCCCTTCAGAGTTATAAGCCAAATGTGTGCATGTGTGTTTGCATGTGCAGTGGAGACAGCTGCGGTGATGCTGGGCTCTGGGCTGGTCCTCCTGCAGTTTCCCTCAGCCCTTTTGGATGGGACTCAGTCTTCTGTAGCTGAGTGCTCAGTGTTATGAAGTCGCTGTGTGCACGAATGTGTGGTATGGGGCCAGTGCCTCTTCCTGATGTGTTTTTCCCACCACAGGCTTTGCTGCAGATGGTATGTGAGGAGAGCCGCCAGATCCTGGCCCTATCAGAGAGCCATGGGCCCCCAAGCACTCTAAGCAGAGGCGAGCCCCGCACAGACCTGGACTGCTTCCCAAGGGAGGCACCGTGCCTGCTGGAGGCACCCCAGAAAGGAGGCAAGGTACAGAATGGCTTGGTCCACTAGGGGAGAACATGCAGTTTTGTCTTGCACCTTACATACTTCTCTTCCAAAGGATTTAAGGTGCTCCCAGCGAAGGCTGCATCTATAGGAAGACACATACACACACAGACAAGGATTTATTTAGTGGAGTTAAAAAACAGGTTGAAGACTGAGATCTTGGGAGAGACCTTCTTGCCCCCACAGGCTGGGGCTGGCTCTGTGGGAGGTTTCCAAATGCCATGCAGAGGGGCCATCTGGGGAAGAACAGGGCAGGGATCTTGGGGCCTTATTATGCTCAAGCTGAGGCTCGAGGTCCAGAGGTGATCTCACAGTCATGTGGCCCTGAGGACTCAGTCTGTCCATGGCATGCATCCCCAAGGACCCTTCTCCAACTCACTTTTCTCATTTCATCAGGTCAGCTCTCACTTCTCCCTCCACCCTCTAAGGCCTGGCATCTGGGTCTCCCCTCTGTGCTGCCCCTACCCTCCCTGTCTCCCTGCGTGCTCCTTCCAACCCAGAGGCTGCTAGAGCATGTGGAATGGGTGCTGAGACCCCATTCACACTCTTTCTCTCCTGCCCTCATGTCTGCTCCTGGGAAGGACTTTGTCCCCATGACTGGATATGCTGTGCATAAGGTGGTGCCCATGAAAGCCAGGGGGAGGTACTGGACTGGCCGTGGTGGTGCATGCCAGCAGTCTTGCTGGCCTCAGTGGCTCATCAGTACTGTACATGGCCTAAAGGACCTGCTCTTGCTGAATTCACATCACCATTGCCCCCCGGAGCCTGGCAGGTGCCCAGTAGGGCAGTCCTGGGCCCTCTCCAGACCCAGGTCCTCATAGATGTAGGAGCAGGAAGAAAAAGAAGTGTACTAGCATGTTGTTTCATCTTATTTTACCACCTTTTTACAGTCTCTTTTCTGCTTTTGAAGGCAGTGTTTGCTTCTCATGTCCTGATGATCCTGTGCACTCATGTGTCTTCTCTTCTGTCAGTGATTTCTGTTTTAAGGACTGTCAGTCGGCTCAGCTGCTGTAACAGAAAACCACAGACATTTATTTCTCCTGGTTCTGGAGACTGGAAGTCCAAAATCAGGTTGCCAACAGGGTTGGGTTCTGGTGAGGGCATTCCTCCTGGCTTGCAGAATTCTTGCAGCCTTCTCATTGTGTCCTCACATGGTGGGGAGTGCAAGAGAGCTCTGGTGCCTCTTCCTCTTCTAATAGGGCCACAATTCTGTCAGATCAGGGCCCCACCTTTCTTACCTCACTTACCTAATTACTTCCTAAAGGCCCTGTCTCCAATTATAGCCACATTAGGGTTAGGGCTTCAGCATGGATTTTGGGGACACAAAGTCCTCATAGCACCTGCAAAATGCATTTGTGAGAACATTGAGTTTCTTGTTCAATATTTTAGGAATCTTCTAACATGTGCCTTGATTGGAGAGGAGAATTTCTGCAGGCCATCCAAGAGGCTTTTGAGAAAGAGCGGGAACTGCTGAGAGTTGAGCGACAGCCCCGACTCGGTGGCTCAGACCTGGGGGGTCATAACTCCCTGCTCGAGAGGTTGGAGAAGGTTGTCCAAGAGCAGGTGAGTGACAGCTCTGTGTCCTCCCAGGTGCCTAGCCTTGAGGAGAAGGTGGCAGAGCCTGTTGTATGTGTGACTTTTGGTTCACATGTTTCTCCCAGCCTTGGGATGTGCTAATGACTGACCTAGGAAATCACACCTCAGTCCCTTGTGTTGCGGTGCTAATCACCCGTACAACTTGCTCTGTTCTGGGAATAACTGGCAAAAGAGCGATTCCAAGGCAACTCTCAGGTTGCCATGGACTCTGTGCACGGGGTTGGAGAACATTAGTACTATGAGGACCTTTGAAACCCTGTTCTCACCAGTGCACTCAGATGAGGATACCTGATGTTCAGAGTAATAGGCTGTTGCAGGTTGCATGGTAGGTCAGTGTGACGTAGCCCTGACACATGCTAGCACTGTGCTGAGGGTCCAGGGGCCACCGTGCACCATTCCAGACTCAACACTGTCTAAAGCATGTCCCCATGGACCTGGAGTGTGGGTTTGCAGAGGGTAGGCTGCAGGGAAGGTTGACTGTGGGCATGACCTGCACCTGGTGCTTAGTCTACTCTTCTCCCCCAGGGAGATCTGAAGGAGAAATCCTTGGAGGACCTTCATCTGTCTGACAGGAGCAGCCTGCTGTTCGAGATTCAGGCTCTGCGTGCCCAGCTGCGTATGACACACCTGCAGAATCAGGAGAAGCTGCAGCAGCTGTGTGCAGCATTGACCAGCGCAGAGGCCCAAGGGAGCCGGCAGGAGCACCAGTTGCGAAGGCAGGGTGGGTGCTGCTACCCACAATCACTCTGTGGGGCTGGGGAACACCTAGCGTAGTGAGGCCCTTTGAGTTGCATGGGCAGAGTTGCATGGAGGTCATGATGTCCAGTCTCGTCAGATCTCTAAGTGTTGGAACCCCAAGACCCTGGCTTTCTCACTGATAGAACTGAGTAGAAATGATCCTGGGAGACCAGGCAGAGCCCAGAAGAGGCTGGGTAGGACAGAGGCCTCACTGCAGGGTCGACTGAAGGCAGAGGAACCCCCTGCACAGGCACTGAGTGTGCTGGGAGAATCTTGGGAGCTTGCTCTAGAGTTAGGTGTGTGTTATAGAGTTCTACATGTAATTTAGATTCTCTGGGCATTTGTATGTAGATACATCATCTGTGAATGAATATTTTACTTATTTTTCATTTCCCATCTACTGTCTCTCATATATTGCGCTGGTTAGGCCCTTTGGCAGACACTCTTTCTTGTCTTTGGAGCAGCACCCATCACGACACCCATGGTCAGCTCAAGGAAGCTTCTCTGCTCCTTGTTCTGGGTTCAAGCAGCCCTGCATTTAGGCTTGACTCTTGTCCTGGTGCTTTTCCCTTTTATGTACTTCTAGATGGGATTGTTCATTGTTGGCCCATACATTTGACAGTGGCACAGCTCTGTAGTTTCCTTTCTTTTGCACCTTTTCTGGTCTCGGTATTGGAGCAGCATCAGCCTCATAGAGGCTTGGGAAGTGTCGCCTCCCCATGTGTTTTCCAGGGGAGTCTGTGTAGAACTGGGGTTATTTCTTCCTTCAGTTTTAGGAGGATTTTCCAATGAAACCATCTGGACCTGGGGTTGCCTCTGTTGGAGTCACTTAGGGTGTGTGTGGTATGGGGTTTTAGAGTGCGTCATTTTATCTTTGCATGCTCCTGGCCAGGAGAACCAGGCTTGAAGGCAATGGCCTCACAGGACAGAGACTGAGGCGTGCAAAGGAATGTGTCCTGAATGTCCTGGCCCCGCTGAAACTACCGCTGTAGTTCATAGAAACCTCATTTCTCCCCCAGACAGATACATCCCTGTCCTCTTGCAGATTTGTTTGTAATTTAATGACACTTACACAGCTCACTTGGAGCTCAAAGATAACACTGTGTTATGTTTAATCTCTCTCAGTTGAATTATTGGCCTATAAAGTTGAGCAGGAAAAATGTATAGCAAGCGACTTACAGAGAACCCTGCGTGAAGAGCAGGAGAAAGCAAGCAGTGTGTGGAAGCTCCTGGTGGCAGAGCAGAGTACAGCAAAGGAGCTTCGGGCTGAGCTCCGTGAGTGCCGACAGGACAACGAGAGGCTACTGCAGTCCCTCCATGATGTGCAGCAGGAGGTTGTCCAGCTGAGGTGTGGGCTTAGCACTTGCGGTTCCCTTGACCACCAATGGGAGTCTCATGGTCATTGCTACTTTTTTTTTTTACTTTTAATTTTTTAACTTTAAAGATGTGGGGTACAATTCAGAGTTAGGTATACAAATGTTCATTATGCAGGTACCCTTGTTGATGAGATGTGTCCCCATCTTCCCTGGCAGATTCCCACTACTGCCGATTCCGCCTCCCTAACACCTCATCCCCCATCTGCCGAGCAGTTTCCCACTACTGTCAATCCTTTTCTTATAGTATTATGATAATTATTCAAGGTCCGCTTATGAGTGAGAACATGTGATACTCAGTTCTTTGTTTCTATGATAGATCACTCAGTATTATAGATTCTAAGTCCATCCGGACTGCTGCATTGCCACTTTTTTTGGCATTGAAGATTAAAACAATCCCAGGTGTGCCAGTTTGGCAGCTCTGGGAGTGTGGTGCCTGCCCTCCTGGGTTTGCGATCTGGAGAGAGGGTGAAGTACATATGTGGATGATGGAACTGGCAGGGGTTTGTCCTTCCTGTCCTAGGGTCCTCGCCCTGGACTGTGTGTTCCATGACATGACTCCCGATGCTGCCTATGTCCCCATGCAGATCTGTGCTGGATGGCAAGGAGAACGATCTGAAGGCCACACTTGAGGAGCTGGAGAGTGAGCGCGGGAGAGAGCGAGCCCTGCAGAGCCGGCTGGAAGAGGAACAACTGCGGCACCTACAGCGGGAGGGCCAGAATGCAAAGTCCCTGGAGGTAATGGGTGAGGGCTGAGGCCCCCAGGAATGGCTTTTCTGGCCAATGTGGTTAGTTCCTCTCTCATGTTCTCTTTTCCTTGTTTGTGGTGGTGTGCCCTGTTGACAGGTTTGTGAGTCCACGAGATAGGGTGGTATTTTTAGGTAAATTATCTTTGTGGTGACCATATGGCGAATGGCACATGACCCACCCAGTAGTCCCCATTGACTCTGAGTGTTTGGTCTGGAGGTAGACACAGCCTCCTTGCCCACCAGCTTGGACAAAAAGCGGCCTTAGAGGCCTGTACACAAATCAGACAGTGATAGAGACATTGCTTCTTTGTATGACAGAGGTCCAGCAGGTGTCTGGAGTTCCAGAACAGTCCATGCCAGTTCCATGGGTTATGGCAAGTGACTCTCAGCAATAGAAATCATGGCTCATGGCAGACAGCATGTGTGCTTCTTCAGAGAGGCTCAGGCTTCTTTGGTGGTGTGATTTTCTGAGGAAGAAGGGTTGTCTCAATTTTTGTGTGTGTTTACTCAATGCCACTTCCAAAAAATACATCATCTCTGCAGTCAGGATGGTAAAGTAACAACAACAAAAACCCTTGTGGGTATATATGATTAAAAGGGTACATTTCAGAAGGTCTAATTGCTGGTTTAAAGTATATAAACAGATTTGGACAGGAAAACTGTGTAGATACTTTTTCTTTTTATTTAATCCTCCCCCTTTTTTGCTGATCAGGAGTTGAGAATGTCTCTGGAGAAGCAGCGTGCTCAGAGCAGTCGCCTCTGTGTGGCGCTGAAGCATGAGCAGACAACAAAGGACAACCTCCAGAAGGAGCTGCGCATCGAGCACTCACGCTGTGAGGCTTTGCTGGCGCAGGAGCAGAGCCAACTCTCTGCACTCCAGAAGGACCTGGAGGCAGAGCAGAGCCGCTCGCTGGAGCTGTCAGAGGCCTTGCAGCACGAACGGCTTCTGACTGAGCAGCTGAGCCGCAGGACGCAGGAGGCCTGTGCACACCAGGACACACAAGCACATTCTGCTTTGCTGAGGAAGCTAAAGGAAGAGAAGTCCCGTGTGGCAGATCTGCAGGCAGCCCTTGAGAAGGCGGAGCGCCAGGCTGCTCACGCCCAGCAGCAACTCGAAGCTGAGGTTCGGAGGCGCTGTGAGGAACTCTTGAAGGAGAAGGAGGTAAGTGCCACACTGAAGTCCACCGAGGAAGCCCTGCAGACCCAAAGGCAAGAGCTGAGGTGCTCTCAGGAGAGAGAAAGGGAGAGACCGGCGAGGTTACAGGCAGAACTAGAGCAGCTACACGCACGCTTCCAAGAGCAAGAGGGACCTGAGGATGCAAGGAGGAGCATGGGGACGAGGCAGAGCCCAGCTGACGGGGAGCCATGGCCGCAGTGGCAGAGAGACAAGGAGATGCTGGTGAGAGCTGGCCGCCGGTGGTGTCATGTGCATATAGGACCCTAAGCGTCAGATGACTAGGCCCGCCCACATGGAGAGTACAGAGGTTCTTCCCAGCTCTGGTCAGCTCTGCTCTATCTGTCCTTGTGCCAGCACTGTGCTGTCGTGATGACTCTAGGTTCTTGATAGGCTTTGAAACCAGGAAGTGTGATTCTTCCAACTTGTTTTTTTCTGAGATTGTTTTGGCTGTCTAGGGCTTCTTGCAATCCTGTATGAATTTGAGGATTGGCTTTTTCATTTCTACAAAAATGGCCATTGGGATTTTGATACAGATCGTATTGAATCTGACAGTTGCATTAGGTATGTTGACTTCTTGATGATATTAAGTGTTTTGAATCTTGGAAACAGAATATCTCTCCTTTTTTTAGGTCTTTGTTAATTTCTTCCAGCAGTGTTTTGTAGCTTTCAGAATATAAGCTTTACATTTCTTTTGTTAAATTTAGTCCTTTGCATTTTATTATTTTTGGTGTGGTTGTAAATGGAATTTTCTTAATTTTGTTTTCAAATTGTTGTTTACTAGTTATGACAATCTGCTGAGTTTTATAATATCTCATATCCTGAAACTTTGCTTTAACTTGTTTATTAATTCCAACATTTTAAAGTTGGATTTTCCATATATAAGATCATGTCATCTGCACATAGACATAGTTTTACTTCTTCCTTTCCAGTCTGGATGTCTTTTAATATATTTAGCCTTTTTTATTTTTTAAATTATGAAAATGTGTTAGATTTTGTCAAATGTTTTTTCAGTGTCTATTGAGATCTATAGTTTTTGTCTTTTATTACATTGATTGATTCTTTTTCCCCTGTAGTGAACCATCCTTGCATTCCTAGAATGGATCTCACTTGGTTATGGTGAATAATTTTTTTTTAATATATTTTGTTGGAGTCAGTTTGCAAGTATTCTGTTGAGGATTTAGAATCTATGTTCAAAAGGAATATTGGTCTGTAGTTTTCTTGTGAGGTTTTTGGTTTTAGTATCAGGATAACATTGGCCTCATAAGGTGGGCTAGGTGTTCTGTCCTTTTATTTTTTTGGGTGTCCCTTAATTTTCAGAAACATTTTATGTCAACCAAAGCCTTTATTTTTGATAAATTATCAAAATAATTTGTCTTATGGATTGACATTTGTTTTGTCTTTGTTTTTGATACAGGATCTTGCTCTGTTTGTCACCTAGGCTACAGTACAGTGGCTCAATCATAGCTCACTGCAGCCTTTAAACTCCTGGACTCAAGCAGTCCTTCCACCTCAGCCTCTGATAGCTAGGACTTCAGGCATGCAGCACCACACCTAGCTCATTTCTTATTTTAATTAAAATTAAATTAAATTAAATTTTCTTTTCTTGTAGAGCTGAGTCTCACTATGTTGCACAGGCTAATCTCAAACTCCTGGTCTCAAGTGACCCTCCCACCTCAGCCTCCCAAAGTGCTGGGATTACAGGTGTGAGTCACATGTTTTGTGCTTTTTAAAAAAATACCTTCACTATTTCTGATTTTATACTTCATTGAATTATTTTAAAAATTTAAAAACACACAGGTAAAACCAATGGTGTGATCTTTTTAAGTGGTTAGCCTACCATGAAATAGTTAAGAAATGAACATCTGTTTCTAAAAACAAAACTTTATGCTGGGTGTGGTGGCTCACACCTATAATCTCAACACTTTGGGAGGCAAGAGAATCAGTTGAGCTCAGGAGCTTGAGGCCAGCCTGAACAACATAGTGAGACCTCATCTCAACAAAAAGTAAAAAAATTAGCTGAGTGTGGTTGTGTGTGCCTATAGTCCCAGCCACTTGGGAGGCTGAAGCAGGAGGATTGCTTGAGCCCAGGAGTTTGAGGCTGCGGTAAGCAGCAGTCATGCCACTGCACTCCAGTCTAGGCAACAGAATGGGACCCTAACTCAAAAAAAATATAATAAAGAAAAATAAAGCTTTAGGTTTCTAAGTGTTACAAGGATAAATCAGATTACAAAATGTTACAGTATTAGTTTTGTAAGTTCATATTAGGGAGGTGATCAATATTTTTTAATAACTTTTTGAGCTATAATTCATGTACCATGGAATTCACCCATTTAAATTGCAAAATTCTGTGGGTTTTAGTATATTCAGAGTTATGCAACTATTACTGCAGTTAATTTTGGAACATTTTTATCACCTCAAAATGGAGCCCCATACATCTTAGTTACACTTGCCAGGCACAGGGACTCATGCCTCTAATCTCAGTACTTTGGGAGACTGAGACAGGATTGCTTGATTCCAGGAGTTTGAGACCAGCCTAGCAACATAATGAGACCTCATCTCTATAAAATATCAAAAACTTAGCTGAAGGATTACCTGAGCCCAGGAGGTCGAGGCTGCAGTGAGCTGTGATCTTGTCACTGCACTGCAGCCTGGAAGTGAGACCCTGACTCAAAAAAAAATAAAAAATAAAAAATAGTCATTCCTCATTTCTTTCTCAGTCCTTGGCAACCCCTAACCTGCTTTCTGTCTCTGTAGATAGGCCTCTTCTGGACACTTTATGTGCATGGAATCCTGTACTCTGTGGCTTTTCATATCTGTCTTCTTGCACTTAGCATGACGTTTTCAAGGTTCATCCTTGTTACCCATGTGTCTATAACGATTGATTTTTTTTTCTGTTTTAAGGAACCTTCAAAATACTTGTAGTGTTTTATCACCAGAAGTCTCCAAAAGTTAGGGAATGGTTGGAGGTGTAGACAGTGTAGCAGAGCATGGCCAAGGGGGCCTGTGTTGTTTTGTGGAGCAGATGAGGGAACCCTGGGTGGGCCATGATGAAGCAGTACTCTGGCTGGGATTGAGATTTTGCATGTGTTTGCCTTTTTCCTCTGGGAGGAAATCTTTACCCTTCATGTGATTCTTAAAGGAGTCTTTCCTTTTTTTGAGAACTTCCCCAAACCATATCTAAAGTTTTCAGCCAAAACATTTTATTTAATTTTGATTTTTAATAAAATTGAGTGGTAACATGATTGCTTAAAAAATAAATATAAGGAAATGTTTTCTTTTCTTTTTTTTGAGTTGGAGTCTCACTCTGTCACTCAGATTGGAGTGCAGTGGTTGCTCCCAGCCACTGCAGCCTCGACCTGCTGGGCTCCGGCGATCCTTCCACCTCAGCCTTCCAAGTAGCTGGAACTACAGGCATGCGCTACCACACCTGGCTAATTTTTTTGATTTATTGTAGAGATGAGTCTCGTCAAGTTGCCCAGGCGGGTCTTGAGCCCGCGGGCTCAGGCAATCCACTCACCTCGGCCTCCCAAAGTGCTGGGATTACAGGCTGAGCCACCATGCCTGGCCTGGAAATGTTTTCTAAGTTAAATTAATAACCATTCTTCATAGCATACCTTGAGATTTCATTCTAGTGATGAGCCCCTTTGGCGTTGTTATCATAGATGATTAATTTTATCAAATTATAGAACCCTCTCTAGCTGTAGCTATTGAAGTCTTCCAAGATAGTCGTCTCAGGGCCAGTTTCATCTTTTCTAATTAATATAAATTCATCAGTTCCTCTATGTCTCATTTTCCCCATCTGGAAAATTGGTGAAATAATCATACTTGTTTGCTTATGAGGCTCAACTTAAAGTGGGATGTTGTTAGGAACATGGAGTCTGAGTGAACCTCCCCTGTGGTTGCTGACTTTTCTTGACAGTACCCTCTTTGTTTCCCCACAAAGGGACTTTGTGACACTCCTTTGAATCTCAGGCCCTTCTACAGTCTCCTTGCTTTCCTGCCATGCCTCTGTCCGTGGGATAGGTGATTCTGTCCCTGCCTGGTGCAGTCAGCCCTTACAGGAGCTTAGGCACTTATTGGTGCATTCCTTTTGGTCACCAACACAGCCTGGTCACTCTGTTGTGTCAGAGTGTTGAAGGGTTAACTTGCTCCATTTCACAGAGGGAAAGTTGATGCTCAGTCCCAAGGCTCATATATGTGCACCTGCACATGTGTGTTCATGTGCATGTTTATGCCTGCCTGTGTCTGGGTTTTGGGTGTATTTGTGTGTGTGAGAGGCCAGGGGACCTCAAAGCTTCATCCTGTCTGTCTCAGCATCATAGGCTCCTCTCCTTGGACCCCACGTGCTTGCCTTGGGACTGCTAAAAGCTTAGTAATTCTTAAAATAAAGACAAAATCATTTTCCATGGAGACTCTGGGGTACAATTCCAGCTGTCTCTGAGTTGGAAGTGCATGGACACCAGGGCAGGGAGGGTGTTGGGTCCTTGTTTGTGGCATCCCATGGAGAACCACAGAGTGTGCCTGCCCAGGGGTCCTGTTCCTGAGCCTCCCTGTATACTGCCGTGTGTTTGGTCTTTTGCTCAACAGTTTTGTGTTATGGGACATTCATGTGAAAGTCTTTTCATGTTCTTTTTGCTGTTGACAACAGCGGGAGTTGGAACTCCAGCGTCAGCGGGATGATCATAAGATCAAGCAGCTTCAGCAGACGGTGCGAGAGCTGGAGGCAAGGAACACGGCGCTCCACAGTGACGGCTCCCACCGAGGGGCCGCCAGTGCAGACGTAGACTGTCTCTGCAAGCAGCAGCAGGAGCTAGAGGAGATGAGGCAGCGGCTCCTCTGTGCGGCTGGACTCCTCACCAGCTTCCTTAGCCAGACCTTGGACAGGTCAGCGTGTGCAGGAACCCACACCCCACATACCTTCTATTCTTTGGAACATTTGGAGGTTCGGTTGAGCAGGATTCAAGACTATTTTTTTTAGTGAACTCACCCTTTGTTTCTCTTTCCATGATTGTAGACAAATCAGTGGGCAGGACTCTTCTGAAAGATAGCAACAAAATTATATTTTTACATTCTAATATTAGAGAAAAACAATCCTTGGGTTTCCAAGTTTATTTTAGATGTAGCTTGGTTCTCCCCACACCCCTTTACAGTTGTTCATCACCCAGCAGTTCAGGGCCTGGACATCATCCCCAGCCTGCCTCTGTTCCCCTGCCTGTGCTTCCCAGGTTGGTGTGCTACCCGGTGTCTGTCACCTGAGGCCACTCATGACTCAATGCTGATTTACCTGTTAAGGAGCCAAGACCATGATAGTTCATATGAGCAGAAAAATTAGTGCTAACATTTGTCTTTTTCTCTATGCGTGGAAACTCAGTGAAAACTACAGTTTTCCTACCTATACTTGGCCTTAATTAATTAATTAATTTATTTTTCGTGTTGGAGTCTCACTCTGTCACCCAGACTGGAGTGTAGTGGCCGCTCCTGGCCACCGCAGCCTCGACTTGCTGGGCTCCGGCGATCCTTCCCCCTCAGCCTTCCAAGTAGCCAGAATCACAGGCATGCGCTACCATGTCCGGCTGATTTTTTGTAGAGATGAGGTCTCGCTGCCCAGGCGGGCCCCGAACCTGCGGGCTCAGGCAATCCATTCACCTCAGCCTCCCAAAGGCACGGGATTACAGGCTGAGCCACCGAGCCCGGCTTGGCCTTAATTTATAAAGCAGCATGATTTCTAAGCAAAGTTTCATTTAGGACAGTGTTCTTAATATTAATTCTGGAAGAAAGCAGCAGCATGTGGTGACATGGCAAATGGGCACCTCCCCATGCTCAGGGGAGTCTCGTGGCTAGAGATTTCTGAGCTCCACAAAAGCATCCAGCTGAAGACCCTGCTGCCCCCGAGGGGCTGCTCCCCCACCTTGTGGTCCAATGAAGCAGTTCACAAACATGCACAGATGACCCATGACTCCTCAGAAGCCCCTGGGTGTGTTACTCTTGGCCCTCTCTGAGGTTATGCTGCACAAACTCATTTTCTTGCTGTGTCTCTCTTTAGCAGAATGTTCTTATATAGTTTTGGATAATGGTTACTTGGGTTACATACGAAATGCGCATTTGTTTTTACAGGACAATTAATGATTGGACATCATCCAATGAGAAAGTAATAACATCTTTATTGAGCATGTTAGAGGAACTGAAGTCTGAACTGAGCAGGCCTAACTCCTCCCAGGTAAGGGGTGGGACTTCTCCATGCCCCACAGAGACTAGCATGTGGCACCTCCCCTGAAGGGAGGTGATTATTGATCAGTTGTTTCTTCCTCCTTGCCATCTTCTCTGACTTCAAGTTTGCCGTCTGGGTAAGTGAACAGATGTCTAACCCATGTGCAGTGAAAATGCCTTCCTTGTCCTGGTGTACTTTGTATGGTGGTGAAGGGCTCAGACATGCTGCCCACGGAATGCTGCCTGTCTGAACTCCCACATCCCCCAAGTCCTGGACATGCCCTCGGGCTGCTGGCCTGCAGGGACCATGGGTTCTGCTCTGCTGAGGGCAGATGCCCCTGGGTGCCACTGTGTATTTGCCTCCTCCCAGCCTAGCCCACTCCTTGTGTATCTACATTGATGACCTTCACTGGAAATGAAACCTCAAGTCCTTCTTGGAAAATCTGAGCTCACTGTCAGCTGCTCTGAAGGAATTTGGAAATCCTGGCTACTGATATAGATTCCTAATATACATAGTACTGTGACATTTATGACATCATAACATTTATGTGGGAACCATGTGTGTGTATGAGGCATCACTAACTGAGTGCCATGTGGATATGGTGTGGAGTACCCTCTCCCTCTGTGTTGGGCACTGGGGATCTTTCCAGTGTCTTTGCTCTTTGATTGTGGAGATACTGAACCTGTGTCGGGTGCCTCACATATGAACCCTCTGTATAAACTGGCAACATCTCCGTGACCTCCTAATGTGCCACGTCTGTTTACAGTACTATTAGAACAGCCGAAAAGGGTTATGTTTTGTGACAGGCCTATGATACTCATACAGACCAGTTTTGTGCAAAATCTATTTTGTACAGGATTGAAAAGACATATGTGATGACTTTTACTATTTCCTGCCCTATAGATGGTGGTTCTGCTCAGCCCCACAAGCTTCCTATTGAACCCCAAACATGCTTAAGATTACCTGAAAATGACTGACAACAATAAAAAACAGATAAAATGCATGCCTTTTAACAAAAATTCTTATAAATTTTTTCTCTCCTTTTCAAGAGAAAAATGGCAACAGACCTGCAAATCCAGCTTGTGGACGTCTTGCTGAAAGACAATGATTCTCTTACAAAAGCCCTCAGCATAGTGAGTCGAGAGAAATTGGAGCTGAGCAGGGCTATGTCCAAGCTTGAAAAGACCCTGAAGCATCATCTGCAGAAGGGCTGCATCCTGAGTGTGTGTATTTGTACTTTATCCCTTACCTACTCCAGCCTATCCCACCATGATCAGATTAGCTCTATTCCATAATCAGCCAGGCTTCCTCACAGACATGGCATAAGTGTGTCAGTTTTTCCCTCTTAACTGCTGTGACTCTTTGTTCTCAAGTTTTAAGTCTTGCTCAGTGTTCCAAAATGTTTTATTTAATATCTTAGCAAATGTTCTACCTTATTCATACACACTCAGTGTCACCACAGTCCTGACTACTACCTGATGCTTGGTGCATGTTTATAAAAGGACACTTTGGCTAAGAATAATCTGACCAAATTAGAGTTTGTCTGTTACTCAATTTAAATGATTTATAGTTTTCCTAATGGTTTAGTTGGATAGACTATTTTTCTGGAATGCCTAATTTTTTTCTTCTTTTTATATTTAGGGTTTTTTTTTCTCTTGTGATTTGCTTTACTTTTTTAAGATGAAAACTTTTAAAAAATTATTTTAAAATTTACATAAGGTAAAAATTTGTCCTTTTTTGGTGTGACTTCATACAAGTGTTCACACATTCATAGATTCTTGTAACCTGCAAAACTACCACCATTAGCAAAATGCCAACCTTCAAAAGAACAGCAGTCACACCTGCTCACTCTGACTGCTGGTAGTCACTGACCTGGTCTCCTTTCCTAAAGGCTGTATAAGTGGAAACATAGGGCCTGTTGCCTGTCGAACTGGCTTCTGTCATTTCTCAAATGCACATTTGATATTCTTGCAGATTACCAATGCATCAATAGCTGGTTCCCTTGCATTGCTCAGCAGTATTTTAGAGTTTGACAGGCCACAGTTTGTTGAGCTATTTACCCACTGAGGGACATTTGGGTTGTTTCCAGTTTCTAACTGCTATGACTGCTGCTGTGTTTACAGAATTTCATGTGGACATGGGCTCCATTTCTCTGGTATGAATACCCAGAATAGGCTCATGGGGTCCTGTGGCTGCAGCATTTTTCTTGCCTCACAGCAATGCTACATCTGGGTACTTGGTGTTGTCTGTACTTTTTATCCATTCTAATATGTGTGGGTGGTATCTCCTTGTGGTTTTAACATGCATATCCCTAATGGTTAAAGGTATAAGGCATCTTTTCATGTATTTTTCTGCCGTTTGCATTTTTTGGGTAAAGTGTCTGTTAAAGCCTTGTGTCCGTTTTTGAATTGGATTTTCTCATTGTTCAATTTTGAGAATTCTTTATATATTCTGGATACAACTCCTTTGTTAGATACATGATTTACAAATATTTTTTCCCAGTCTGTGCTGGTCTCTTTCTGCTCCATATAGTATCCTTTGCAAAGCAAAAGTTTCTAATTTTGTTGAAGTCTAATGTATCAATTTGTTGTTTTATGAATCATGCCAAGAATTTTATAGTTTTACTTTTTTAATTTAGATCTATGATCCATTTTGAGTTAATTTTTTAAAAATTTATTTATTTATTATAAGGATGTGGGGTACAATTAAGGGTTAGGTATATAAACATCGATCATGCAGGTACCCTTGTTGATGAGGTATGCCCCTCCCTCCCCTAGCAGTTTCCCTCAACTGCCAGTCCCCCCCCCCCCACAGTTTTCCACTACTGCCAATCGCCTTCTTATAGCATTATAATTGTTCAAGGTCACCTTACGAGTGAGAACATATGGAACTCAGTTCTTTGTTTCTGTGATAAATCACTGAGTATGATCGACTCCAGATCCATCCAAATTGTTGCAAAGTCCATATATTTGTCCTTCTTTATGGCTGCAGTTAATTTTTGATTTTTGTTTATGGGTCTGAGGAATAGGTTGAGGATCATTTTAATGTATATAGATTTTTTTTTTAAAGACGGGCTCACTCTGTTGTCCAGGCTGGAGTACAGTGATGATCCCGGATTACTGCAGCTTCAACCTCCTAGGTTCACGCAGTCCTCCCACCTCAGCCTACCAAGTAACTGGGGCCTCAGTGTATGCCACCACACCCAGCTAATTTTTGTGTTTTTTGTAGAGACGAGGTCTTACCATGCTGCCTAGGCTGGTCTCAGACTCCTGGACTCAAGTGATCCTCCTGCCTTGGCCTTCCAAAGTGCTGGATTACAGGCATGAACCACCACCAGTGGTGGATGTTTTAATTTAGGATCTTTTTTTTTAGAAAGTAGGAATTTATTAGGAAGACAGTATAGCTCCCAGCAGCAGGAGGGGTCCCAAAGGGTTGCCCTAATTTAGGATCTTAATGATGGAGAGCACCCCTTCAATGATTGGAGATATACAAGAGGGAAATAAAGATTTTACTGCTTAGAGGTTCTGAAGGTCACACACATAGATATCAAGGTGCCTGTGGGCCAAGATGACTTTCTTAGGTCTAGGGTGTTAACCAAAAAGCCTTCCCAAAGGAGTTCTAACTGATGGGTTAAAAGCACACAGGCATGAGTTCCGTGGAGCCCCACAGTTACTGAGATGTGGTCCCTGGTGCATATCTTCAGGGTATGCATGCCATGGTCCACACAGAGTGTGGGATTCAGAGACACAAAGGATGCTTCCAGCTGTTTCATAGAGATGTGGTCACCAGGGAGCGGGTATATATGGCAGGTATCAGGATGGACTGCATGAGAAACCGGGAGGAGGCAGAGAACTGGAAACTGTGTCAAGGGTGACTGGGCCCTGCTTCTGGTAGGAGGAAGTCTGCCTTATGCTCAGAATGGTGCCGGGACAACATGAAATTATAAGAATTCACTACAGTGGATATGCAGTTTTCCCAGCACACTCTGTTGGAGACTGTTCTTTCTCCACTGAGTTGTCTTTGTATGTAAAAATCAATCAGGAATATTTGTGTATTATTTTTGGACTCTGCTCCATTGCTCCAATGTGTATCTTTTCCAACAGCCTGATTAATGTAGCTTTATAGTACATCTTCATATTGAGTAATATGAATTTTCCAACTTTTTTCTTCTTTTTGAAATTATTTGGCTATTCCAGTTCCTCTACTTTTCAATATAAATTTTAGAATCCCAATTATTAAAATTGGGATTGTGTTAAGTCTGTAAATCAATGTGGAAAGAATTGGGTGAGAATGTAAAATGTACACTTGCTTGGAAAAACAGTCTGGAAATTCCTCAAAAGTTCAAACAGAGTTATTATATTGCCCAGCAATTCTACTTCTAGGTATCTGCCCAAGAGAAGTGAAAATACATGTCCATATAAAGACTTTTACACAATTTTTCATAGCACCATTATTCATAATAGCCAAAAAAGTAGGAGTAAGCAAATGTCCACCAGTTGATGAATGGATGAATAACATAGAGCACAGCCAGCCCTCCAAACTCAGATTGAAAATATTGGTGGGGAGGCCTGGAGACCAACAACAGCAAAAGTAATTATACAGGTAAAATTCAGTATAACAACTATTTACACAGCATTTGCATTGTATTTGGTATTACAAGTAATCTAGATATTGAGTTAAAATATACAGGAGGATGTTCATAGGCTATATGCAGATACTATGCCATTTTATTTAAAGGACTTGAGCGTCTTCAGATTTTGGTATCCAAGGGGTGGGGTGGTCCTGGAATTATACTCCCTCAGATACTGAGGGACATGTATGTATGTATAAATGGAATATTATTTGTCAATAAAAAGGAATGATATTCTGACACATTCTGCAATGTGGATGAGCCTTGAAAACATTATGCTAAGTGAAAGAAGCCAGTCATAAAAGACCACATATTACACGATTCCATTTATATGAAGTATCCAAAATAGGCAAGTCCACTGAAACAGAAAATAGATTAGTGCTTGCCAGAGGCTAAGGGGAATGGGAATGGGGAGATAACTGCTAACAGGCGTGGGGTTTCTTTTTGAGGTGATGGCAACGTTCTGGAATTAGACAGTGGTGATGGTTTGCACAACCCTGTGAATGTACTAAAAATTTATTGAGTTGTATACTGTAGAAGGATAAGTTTTATGACATGTGATGTATATCTTAATAAGCTATAATTTTTTAAATGGGGGAAGAGTTGGCATCTTGACTTCATGTGAAGTCTCTTAATCCAAGAACAGGGCATGTCTCTGTCCATGTGTTTTTTTTCCAGATTTTCTTTCTTCAGTGTTTGGTAGTTGTCAGTATGTACATTCTGCATTTTCCAGGGGACTTTGCCAATGATGCTTTTTAAAAATTTTGTTTTCCAGTTGTTCATAGCTAGTATATAGTGATAGGATTTTTTTTTTAAATGTTCACCTTCTATCTGCAACCTTGCTACATTCACTTTTTAGTCCTGTGAGCTTTTTTGTAGGATCTTTTGCATAGATTATCATGTCACATACAAGTTTGTCTTATTTTCTTCATTCCAGTTTGAATGCTTTTGATTTCTTTTTCTTGCCTTATTACTCTGCCTTGGACTCACTCTGGAACCTTGAATGGAGTGGTGAGAGTACATCCTTGCCTGGTCCCCAGATATGGGGTAGAGATTCAGTCCTTCACCATTCAGGACTATGTCAGTCGTAGGTGTTTTCTGAATGCCTTTACTGGCTTGAAGAAGTTACATTCTATTCCTTGTTTGCTGAGACTTTATCATGAAGGGATGTTGAGATTTGTCATGCTTTTTTTTGCATCTTTTGATATGATCATCTGGCTTTTCAGGTTTAGCTTATTAATATACTGGATTACATTGATTTTTTTGAGTGTTGACATGTTTTATCCTTTTTATATACTGCAGGACTTGATTTATTGATATTTTGTTGAGCACTTTTTGTACCAGAGGGATATTGGTCTGGAGTTTTCTTGTATTGTCTTTGGGTTTTGTCCTCATAAAATGAGTTGGGACATGTTTCCTCCTCTTCTGTTTTCTGGAAGAGATTATGTAGAACTGATAGTATTTCTTACTTTAATATTTGTTAAAATTCACCTTATATCTTGGGCCTAATATTTTCTTGTTTGGTAAGTTTTTAATGACAGATTTGGTGTTTTTTATTAGATATATGACAATTCGGGTTACTCTGTGGGGGAAGTTTTAGTACTTTCTGCCTTTCAAGGAATTGATCCATTTCCTCTTAATTGTAGAACTATGTGCATAGGGTTGTTCGTGGCATTCGCTCAATAAACTTTTATGTCTGCAGGGTCAGTGGTGATGTCCTTTCTTTTGTTCCAGTAAGAGATAGGGGGGAAAAAACAGTTTTTCTCACACACATACCAATCAACACACACTGCTTCACCTTTGGTCACCAAAATGTGTGAGACTTTCTCCCTACCAACAAGCACTTCTCCAGCGGACACCAACTGCGTGTCCCACACCTTAATTCCTACACCATCTACCTGGAGGGAGCATCAGATTGCACAAAGTGAGGGTCAGTCTCACAAGATAGCCCTACTTTGATGCCAATCACAAGTTCAAGATTGTGACCTGTGCTTCTGACCAACTGGCTGTAAATATGGGTTTTCATGACCCCCTCTCGGACTCGATTAATTTGCTGGGATGTTTCATAGAACTTGGGAAATACCTTCTTGCATTTACAGGTTTATTATTAAAGGATATTACAAAAGATCAAATGAACAGCAAGCTAAAGAGATATACAAGGTAAGGACAAGGTATTGGGGGCATGCAAAGCTTCCATGCCCTTCCTGGGCACACCACCCTCTGACACCTCCACATGTTCAGCAGCTAGGAACCCTGCTGCTTTTGGTTTTTATGGAGGCTTTGTTCGGTAGACATGATTGATTGCATCATTGGTCATTGGGATCAACTCAACTGTCATTACCTCTCCTCTCCCCAGAGGTCAAGTGTGGGGCTGAAAATTCCAACCCACTAATCATATAGTTGGTTCCCCTGGCAGCCATTCCCCACCCTGAGACTTTCCCGGAGCCCACCAAGAGTCACCTCATTAGAATAAAAGACTTATCACCCTGGAAATGTCAAGGTATTTAGGAAGTCTGTGTCAAATGTTCACTCAGGAAATTACAAAGGTCTTGGGAACTCTGTGCCAGGAACCAGGATCAAAGACCAAATTACAGTCATATGTTGCTTAGCAGCGGGGATATGTTCTGAGATATGTGTCATTAGGTGACAGTATCATTGTGTGAACATGCTGCTTACACCCAGATGGTACAGCCTACTACACACCTAGGCTGTATGGTACAGCCTGTTGCTTCTAAGCTACACACCTAGTAGCATGTTACTGTACTGAATGTTGTAGGCAGTTGTGACACAATGGTAATTGTGTATTACACTTTTACACTAGAGACATCTCATGGATTACCTTCCAACAACTTGACCACCCTTTTTTGACAAAATAGTGAAAAACAAATCACTTCATATTAAATAGTATAGCATTGGAACCAGTTATTTTATTGTAATGGAATTTGGGACATTGAGGAACTTATTAAGTTTTATATCTTATATTTTTCTTATATGTGATAATGTATGAAACTGTCACTAACATGCACTACAGTTTCATTGATACATGTTGTGCAACAGTAATTTGACATCTTCCACCTGGTGTTTTTCTATTTGAGCAGACAGTGCAGTCTCATTTTTTTCTCCCATATTAATAATATGTGATTTATTGTCCAGTCTGTGCACCACTGTGAAAGCACTTCACACATTCTAGGTAATGCCAACTGATATTTAAAAATGTATATCTCAGTAAATATTCCATCCATTTATTAGACTTTGCATTCAATTTGAATGGAAGACTTCAGAGAAACATAAATTTTTGAAAAATTTGCACTGGCATAAGTTTCTCCTGTATAATCACCAGCAATCTCTTTATGTTCCCTGAGAGGGGACATCTAAGTGATTTGCTCGATTTATGATGTCCCTTCAGAGGGTACGATCCGAGTGTAAAGGGCTAAACATGTCTAAACAGAAAAGACTACCCTTGAATATATGACCTATCACCGACCAGAATGTTGTGCTGCATAGGACTGTATGGAAACAAAAGATTCTCCTAACATGCTTACCTACAAGGATTTCAGGGACTCTATGTCAGGAGCCAGGGCCAGAGACATGTATATATATTTCTTCTTATATTACAGTGTCACAGTTTATAGTGTTAGTGATTTGTGGCCTTTTTTTCATGGTCAGTCTGGCAATAGTTTTATATATTTTGATGGATTTTTTTCCCCCTAAGAAATGGTTTTTGGTTTTAGTAAAATTCTTCATAGATTTTCTGTTTCCAGTTTCATTGGTAGCTGTTCTTATTTTTCTTATTTTTCTTATTTCCTTCAGTTTACTTAGGTTTGGTTTGTTCTCTTGTAGTTTCTTAAGATGGAAGCTTAAATTGTTAATTTGAGGCTTTTCCTTTCACATGAAACCATTTAATATCCTTTTTAAACACTGCTCTAGATGCATCCCACAGATTTTCATTTTAATTTAGTTAAAATATTTTTTTTATCTCATTTGCAGATGACAATACAGTAAAACGGTTTTCTGATTTCTTTTGGGACTTTCTTTTTGATTAATGGATTATTTACTAGAGTGTTATTTAATTTCCCAAAATATGGGTGTTTTCCAGATATCTTACTGCTTTCGATTTCTGATTTACATTCATTATTGTCAGAGAACTTACTTTGAATAATCTTGGTTTCTTTAATAAGGTTTGGTCTCTGGCCCAGAATCGAATTTTTCTGGGTCTGTGTTCCATGGGCACTGTAAGGCAGGTATGTCCTAGTACTAGGGGTATCCTGTGAAGCCAGTTGGACCTGGCTGGGTAAATCTGGTGTTCACATCTTCTGATGCTGCCTGGATTTCTCTCTGCTTGTTCTGTCAAATACTAATAATAGAACTGTGGGTTGGTCTGTTTCTACTTCCCGTTCTGTCAGTTTTGCTTTGTCTGTTGTGAAGGTCTGTTAGCAGGAGAAGGTAAAGGGACCTCTACATTCATGACTTGAGCAAACCTACGATGGATATTCTTAGATGTGAGAAGTTTTTATGGAGGTTCCAAAGAGAGCTGCCATGAGCGTCAGTTCATAGCCTGGCCCCCTCTCTGGGACTCACTCGGAACATGTTCTAAGGTTTCTTGTTCAGAGCATCCTGTGGGGCCTAGTGTGCTCTAAGCCACAGTGGCTGGTGGAACATTTCTGTCCTTTATATGAAAGTTAACAGAGAAACAAGGAAATAATATTTTTATTGAATAAATTGAAGGTGGACTGAGAGTGAACTGGTAGAACACTTTTCCTTGATGTCTAAGATGATTGTTTTCCTAGAGCAGTTCTTTTCAGAAAGGACTCAGCTGTGTTTTAGAACCAACAAGTCATGGTTGTCTTTTTCTTCTGCCTGAGAGCCATTTCATAGGCCATCCCATGGGGGAGCTTGGAGCCTGTCCCGGTCTCCTCTGGTCCTCCCTGTGGAGTCATGGCCTGGCACCACCAGCCTGCCTTTGATTCCTGTTTCAAATGCTGGATGCAGGCCACTGAGCACATGCTTTGACTGGAGGGCAGGTCCTGGGCATTCATTCTGGGAGGTTCCTTTGTTCCCTCACCATGAAACTGTCCTCCTCCTAGTGTGTACTCCCCCATGGGGCTCTGGGGATTCTCTGCACATGGTGGCTGTCCAGGCCCCTGGGGTCCACTCTCAGCCTGAGTGCTCTTGTGTGTGGTATCCTTACTTAGGTTCCACATGTGAGATTTGATGGTGCTAGAGTAGGTAGGTATAGTCGTTCCTCAGTACCTGGAGTAGATTGATTCCAGAATACCCAGAGATACCAAAATCCTCGGGTACGCAAGTCTGATATAAAATGGCATAGTATTCATATATAACCTATGTACATCCTCTCACATATGCTTTAAATCATCTCTAGATTGCTTATGATAAGTAATATAATGTAAATGCTATCTAAATAGCTTCACTAAATTGTTTAGGGAATAATAATGAAATTCTGTGCATGTCAGTACAGATGCATATTTTTTCCTGATTATTTTCTATCTGTGGTCGGTGGAATCCATGGATATGGAAGGCTGACTGCATTTGAATTCACCAGTGGTTGGCATTTCTAGAACCATAAAATGTGAGTGAATTTATGGTTTAAACCTTTGCATTTAGGGTTATTTTAGAAATATTTTGTTTTGTTGTTTTTACTAAAATGCACCTCCTGTGCAATCATACTTCAGTAAATGCATGTAGTAATTACCCTGTAACTGTTCATTATATGATAAATGGCTTCACAGAAGAACTTGGACCTGACTGAAGAAGTGCTGCAGGTGTGGAGGGACCAGCTGTGGTGCCCATATGAGGTCAGTGCAGCTTCCAAGGGGCCTGCACCTGGAGATGGCATCTGGCTCGAGCATCCCAGCCACTACCTATGTGGGTCTTTCTGCACACAGACTTCACCCTTGGGGTTGGGGCAGAGAGCATGTCTCTTGCCTGACCCTACTCTTAGTCATTGTCCTCAAGATGTTCTTGTTTAAGAACAGCTCTTGATAGCTGTGTTTCATTACAGAGATCAGACAGGTCTGCATGGAAGCAGGATGGTGCGGTTCTGCAGAGTTCACCACGGCATACAGACCCAGGACGACTGTTGCTGGCTGCTGGCGAGGAAACAAACACCTGCCACATCAAGGTGAGACCCAGCCCACGAGCAGGTTGGGGTGCAGAGTGGTGTTGGTGCTTTTACATCCTGAGTTTGTTGATTGCAGCTAAAGGATTTTCATGACCAGGAGGTTCTCATTTGCCAGGTGAAGTGTGCCTATTCACAGCGAGAAATACTGGTTCTAGCAGTCAAGTCACTACAAAGAGAAGAATTTGGAGAAAATAAACTTTGATTTGAATCTTGCTTTAGTTGTATAGAAATACTGAGTTTCTGTGCTTATGCGTTAAGGACAAGATGTGGTATGCCTTGAATCAGTACAAGGGAGGAACCCAAAAAAGAACTTATTTATAAAAAATTGTGTATTTATTGTTACATGTTTAAACTTCAGTCACCTTCAAAGTACTCTCTGTTTGATGCAATTTACTTATCAAGATGCTTAAAACAGTTTCTGAACTCTCAATTTAGATGCCTTTTAGTGCTTCTGCTCTTTTTTGTTTTTTCTACATAGGCAAAATATTTCCCTTTGAGAACTTTTTTCATCCAGGGAAGCAAAAAAATGTCGCTTGTGGCGTGATTGGGTGAATAGGGAGGGTGGGGCATGGAGATCATGCTGCTTTTGATCAAAAACTGCTGAACAAGCTGGGTGCAGTGGCTCAAGCCTATAATCCCAGCACTTTGGGAGGTGGAGGCGAGAGGACTGCCTGAGCCCAGGGCTCGAGATCCGCCTGGGCAGCTTGGCAAGACCTCATCTTTATAGTAAGTCAAAAAATTAGCTGGACATGGTGGCACACATCTGTAGTTTCAGCTACTTGGAAGACTGAGGCGGAAGGATTGCTTGAGCCCAGTTGCTGTGAACATGCCATTGCATTCCAGCCTGGGCGACGGTGAGACTCCACCTCAAACAAACAAACAAACAAACAAAAAACTACTGTACACTCAGTGTGGTGTAGGCAGATGTGCTCGTAAATCACCCATCATGAAATGGACAAATGAGTTGAAAGACTTCAGAAAAAATTCACTGAAGCTGAACACAACCTTTCACAACACTAGCTGGTACACTGATGCTGATGGGTTCCTAAACACTTACCTAGTGGAGGAAGCCTGTACTACAAGGGGCCCACTCTCCAAAAATAATTGTTTTATTTTATTTTTTTATTATTTTTATCTCCCCCTTGTAGATGATAGTCTCTGCAACCAGAAGGAATCCTGGACCACGGACTTGCTGGTCATGGTTTTGACAGTGTGGTACATATGTGGGTCCTCTCTTGAGGGTAGATTCTTGTTAGGATTTGGACCAAGCTCCATGTACAGTCTTCTGGTTTCACACAGCCCCCCAAACCTGATGTCCATCCCCACTCCCAGTTTGAACCTTACTTAGGTGACTAAATTTAAGGCTCCTTCACTAGGGCTCCTTTGATAATGCTGTGGAGAGGTTGTTTGGTTCTAGATTTTATCTGATAAACACAAATCGATCTTTCAATAGCAGGATTGTTTCTGGCTACAAGTGTTGTACAAGTCTGACTTCCATGATAATTTTTTGAGAAACAGGCTAGTTCTTTGTCAGAGCAACAGTACAAATGTGCATTTGTCATCAAATGTCTGTTTCCTATAATTAAATTTTACTGTTTTTTTCCTTTTAGATGGAAAAACTGTACCTACATTATTTGAGAGCAGAGAGCTTTAGAAAAGCTCTGATTTATCAAAAGAAGTATCTTTTACTGTTGATCGGTGGATTCCAGGATTCTGAACAAGAAACACTCTCCATGATAGCTCATTTAGGTGTATTTCCTTCCAAAGCAGACAAGAAAATCATTATATCTCGTCCTTTTACAAAGTTCCGCACAGCTGTCAGGGTCGTCATCGCAATATTAAGGTAAATGACAATACATTCAAGAAGCATATTCTGTGTCTGTCTCCCTGAAAGTGTGCCATGCCACACTGTCATGGTTTTCAGGTGGTTTTATTCCTTGGAATTCTCTTTTAAGATGAATGGCATTTGAGGCCTTAAAATATATATGAACTTGTTTTCAAGAAGTCATGTTGTGCAAAGCTATCACCTTCTATAATGGTTTAAGGAGGCCTTTTTATTAAAAAGGAACAGCTTCTCAGCCTGTAATCCTAGCACTTTGAGGGCTGAGACAAGTGGATTACCTGAGCCCGTGGGTTCAAGACCCATCCGGGCAACTTGGCGAGACTTCGTCTCTACAATAAATCAAAAATTAGCCGGGCGTGGTAGTGTACGCCTGTAGTTGACTACTTGGAAGGCTGAGGCAGAAGGATCACCGGAGCCCAGCAGGTCGAAGCTGTGGTGACTGGGAGTGTGCCACTGCACTCCAGTCTGGGCGACTGAATGAGACTCCAACTCAAAAAAAAAAAGGAACAGCTTGCCTTTTAATGAATTTCATGCCAGGATTTTGACAACAGGCCCATGTAATGGAAGTTTAAAAGCTGCATTTCACTTTGTAAATTTCAGTTTCCTATATTTTAGATTTATTTATGAAAGAGGAGAGTAGGTTGATTCACTGAGGGTAGTGGCCAGTCTTGAGCCTGCAAACATGACTGAGACATGGAGGAACCCCAGCTGCTGAGGTAGGGGAGGCCCTCTGTGCTTTCACCAGCCCCTCTCCCCTTTGCCTCCTGGGGAAAGCATCATTCACTCCCTCAGCCATTGTTTGCACAGGGCATCGTTTTTGGAGCAGAAAGGTGGCTCCCAGGTGTTATTGGGAATTTTGATCATTTCAAAATTAACTAAAATTTCTTTTTTTTTTTGAGTTGGAGTCTCACTCTGTCACCCAGACTGGAGTGTAGTGGCCGCTTCTGGCTACCGCAGCCTCGACCTGCTGGGCTCCGGCGATCCTTCCGCCTCAGCCTTCCAAGTAGCTGGAACTACAGACGCGTGCTACCATGCCCGGCTCATTTTGATTTTTATTGTAGAGATGAGGTCTTACCAAGTTGCCCAGGTGGGTCTTGAACCTGCGGGCTCAGGCAATCCACTCACCTCAGCCTCCCAAAGGTGCGAGATTACAGGCTGAGCCACCGAGCCCAGCTTAAAATTTATTTCATTGATAGTTTCAGAATATGCTAAATTTCTTAAAATGTTTGTCCCACTAAGAATTGTGCAGCTGTGTCTACTCCCTGGTACCCACAGAAACGCCTTCCCACGGCTGTGCTTTGGCTTGTCTGGAGGAGTGGATGCAGCAGAGAGTGGTACAGAGTCTTGCTCCTTTCAGAGGCTGGATGTCGAGCCAGTCAGTCATCCAGTCCAGTGGGCTGGGCAGAAGTGGAAAATAGAGGAGCCTCCTCAAGTGCTGTACTGTTGGCCTTCTCCTGCCTTGGAGCACCTGGCCTCCTCACCTCTACGTTCTCCTGACCATGACTGTCCACTGGCCATCTGTCTACCCAGGATTGTGGGGAGAATGCCCATACAAGGAAGCATTTTAGGTGCTAGATGGGGAAAGCCAGCAGACCCAAGCCTACCTCTAGGAGGGGGATCATTTGAGTGCAGCAGTGATTCTGTGAGGACACTTGCCCAGGGCAGCTTCCACTGAGGGTTCTTGAAGGGCCTCATCTGGGGGAAAGTGAAGGAGGAAAGTTGCAGACACTTGCCTGGAGGGGCCATTCTAGGAGGGGCATCCAGGACCCTGCACAGCCCTCACCACCACACTATCTGTGTTCACTGTCCTTGCTCCTGCGAGGGCCTCTGTATCCTGAGCCTGTCAAGTGGCATCAGTGATAGAATGAGATAAGAGTGTTGAGGCTCCCAGTCAGTGGTGTTGCAGTCTGACTTTGTGCTGGAATAACAGTCCTGGGCTGGGCTGTCATAGTGTCTGGGGGGCCAAGTTCTCCACAGTGGGGTTCTGCCAAAGCTTTGGTAGTGTTGTGGCGTGAGAAAGTCTTCACTGTCAGGAGCACTGCAAGCTCCCTGGATGTGTGTATCCTGTGTACTAGGCCAAGTTAATGGACCTGGACCTGTGTCCTCCACTGGCAGTGAGGGCCCACATTCTGGTTGTTTGTTCATGTCGAGGTTTTCATTGCTCCTTCCATTCCTGTTTTGGTCTGATTTTCAATATATTTTTGTCTTCTTTTTTTGTAGATTGCGTTTTCTGGTTAAGAAATGGCAAGAAGTTGATCGGAAAGGAGCTCTAGCACAAGGCAAAGCCCCCCGCCCAGGTGAGATTCAGCAGCCCATTAACAACTGTGATTCACAAACCTTTTTTCTATTCCTTGTAGCATATTGTGGTCACTTATTATATTCAGTGAGAATGTAATGAAGCATGATAAATTAGTTCATCAGTAAGTGCAGTTGTCAGAAAGTGGCATGAGGAGTGCACAGTAAGACCAGGTTTATAGTCCTTGAGTCAGATGGATCCCAGGAGCAACTAATGGTGGAGAAATACAAAAATACTAAGTACAGTGATTTTTTTTAATAGTGTTTAGTAAGATGGTGTTTTTCTTTGTTTTGCTTTGTTTGAGTTAGGGTCTCATTCTGTCATCCAGACTGGAGTGCAGAGGCACGATTACAACTCATCACCACCTCAGACCCCTGCTCAAGCAATCCTCCCTCCTGGGCCTCCTGAGTAGCTAGGACTATAGGAGCACACTGCCACGCTCAGCTAATTTTCTTTTTCGGTTTTTTTTTTTTTTGTAAGACAAAGTCTCACTATACTGCTGGTCTTGAACTCCTCGGCTCAAGTGATCTTCCTACTTTGACCTTTTAAAGTGATGGGATTACAGCTGTGAGCCACTTCACCTGGCCAAGATGGCATTGTTGTTTTGTTTTATTTTGAGCTGTGGTCTCACTTTGTCGCCAGGCTGGAGTGCAGTGGCATGCTCACAGCTCACCACAGCCTTGGCCTCTTGAGCTTAGGCAGTCTTCCACCTCAGTTGTAAAGCCGAACTAGAGAGATTTCACTATGTTACCCAGGCTTGGTCTTGAACTCCTGGGCTCAAGCAATCCTCCCGCCTCGGCCTCCCAAAGTGCTGGGATTACAGGCATGAGCCAATATGCCTAGCACAAGACGGCCTTCTTAGTTCCCTAAATCTGAAATTCAATTCTCAGTGCTGCCTCTTTCCTTTTAGAGCATCATTGTTTATTTTTGGCTCAATTAAATCTTTTCTCTAAAGTTCTCAGCCACTGCCTTCCTGCAACAGAGTGTGCAGGCGCCTGCTGACACTGAAGGGGCCAACCCCAAAGCAGGATGTTTTGGTGGACCCTTGTCCCACTCTCTGGGCATGGCATGCATAAATGTGCACAGAGGAAGATGACTGGTCATCTGGTTCCTGGGCCCTGGGGCCTGGGCTGTTTGTGCCTCTGCTGACTGCCCATTAGGCCTGGGCTTACCTGGCAGTGCTATGTAGTCTTGACTTTCACATGCTTATAGTTACTTCTCAGATTAAAATGCTTTGGTTCAGCCTTCTGGCCATCAGGAATGTATGCCCTCTGAATTACATCTGGTGGTCTCCCCAGTTTCTTCCCTGCCTTCCTCCTGAGCTTGCTCCTCAGAGCCGGTAGAGGCAGGGTGCCCCCTCTCCAGTCTTACTTGAGCCCCTCTTGCCCTCCTGAGCCCTCTTCAGCAATGGGCCCAGGCAGACACCAGGCTGTCACACTTTGGGAGTAAGATACAGGTGATCAAAACAGGCTTTTTCTAAAGCTTTTTAAAAGATTACATAATAACTTCAGTACTTTAAATATGTTTTAAAATTGTCATGCAGACCCTTAAAAGCTCATAAATCTTAAATTTTGATAAATGAGCTTTCTACTAAAGTATGTTTGTTTCTTTTCCTATTCCCTTTGTTTTTAAACTTGCGGAATTCTGGGGAAGGACTCCGAGTGCGGCGGCGGCAGCAGCAGTCTCCACCCAAAACCAGAGAGTCCCCACCCACCCGTGATGTGCCTTCTGGCCACACCAGGGACCCCACCCTTGGCCCAGGACCTGCAACAGCAGCTTCTCCAAGCAGAAGGGGCAGGTCAGTTGTGATATGTTCAGGCTTCTCATCTCTGCCTGTAATCTCTCTCGGCAGCCTGGGTTGGTTCCTCAGAGAAACAAATTTTTAAAGTTCCTGGCTTTGGCCTTGTCTACAGCAACAGAGGAAACATACCAGAGTCCATGAGGGCCTGGAGTTTAAGCATTACATGGGAGGATGAGAATTATCTGTCTGGTGGCTATGGTGCCTTGGGGCACAATGAGGTGATATTCCTTGAAAGAATAAATGGTTGCTAAGGGCCCCTTTTTGAGGGAGGGTGTATGGGCCAATAAGGCATATCCTCTCTCCTGAGAATATTTGGAAGCTTATCAGGTGAACCTTTGGCCTGGTAGAGGGCAAGGGGGAAGATAGCTGAAGTGAGGACTGAGCAAAGCAGGCTTCATTCACCTCCAGGAAGAAGACAGTTCGGGAAGATCAGGGAAAGGCAGGTGGGCAGCCGGGCCACTTCTCAGACACAGCGGTGTGGGTGTGGGTCTGAGGGATATGGGTGCATAATCCAGGTTGGGTAAGAGATACACGAAGATTTAGTGAGTCAGTAATATACAATAGGTTTTTTTTTTTTACTAAGTTTAACTGAGATATTGTACAGAAGTTGGCTTTTATACACTATGTTGCACTTTGTATAAAAAGCATTACTTTTTTTATTGTGTATTAAGGAAGGATCTGAAGGAAATAGTCCTAGAGTGACCCATTCCCCACAGTTCATTGAGGCACATCCCTTCTGCATTCACCACAGCTTCATTTGTCAAATTCAACTCTTTTTTCCCCCTCCTCTGGTGTGGTGGTTTGAAGATCCACTCCATCCCCAAATTCAAGATTAGAAAGATCCCTAACTGTTTCTCAAGATCCAGAGCAGTCCTTGACAGAATATATTCATCATTTGGAAATGATCCAGCAAAGACTAGAGGGGGTGCCACCAGGTAATAAAAGTCCTTCTTTAATTCTTTATTAAAGTATTATAACTGTACCCTAGAAATGTAGAATAATGCTGAGAAGACTGCTAGTATTCAGCTTAGTAATTGTTAGTCTCGGTGTTAATATTAACTTTCACAAGTAGAATTAGAATAGAGGTTATAAGTGAAGAGACCTCACAGAGGTGTGAACAGATATCCTCAGCAGTAACCACTTGGATCAGTTCTACTTAATCACTATCTGGACCTTCTTATTCTTCTCTTATGCTGATAGGGAACATAAAGATTGTTTCAGCCAGGCTATACTTTGTCCAGTATTTCTTAAACATTGTAATTTAAATCACTGTATATTTTAATGATAACTTATATTCTTACCAAAATGTACATTAATTCAGTGATAGTGTGAAATTTTAAGATGTGCAAAGCCTTTTTACTTTTAACAAAATGCTACCTAATTTTTATTTATATTTAGATTCCACTTCAAAGAAATCCTGCTACCAGAAGATTAAACAATGAATAAAATCCTTGTGGCTGTTACCTGTGACAGACAATTCTCTTTAAGGAAAAGATTTGTTTTTCCCTTTTACTAAAGAAGCTTGTGGGATGGCATGGGGTATACTTCATGTGCTGTGACACTGGGCCTTGAATGCCATTAATTGTTTTCACCTTTATGAATTGCTGTAAAGCCAGGTGGAGCATTTTCTGTGTAACCTCAGTATGTTTTAGCTCTTTGCCTTCATGAGGTAATGGGTACTCCAATGCGTCATGGCTATATATGTGCTGTTCTGCACCTGTCGGTGGACCTACCCTGCTGCCCCCAAGAAGGGTAAGCAGAGAATGGCTTCCTGTTGTTTATTTTCTTAAAGTGTACAGATGGAAACTTTGTTTAAAAATAAAAACAAAACAGTAAGAAAAGAGGGAATAAAATTTTAGCACTGTTTTGTGAATAGCCCTTATGTTGTTTTTTAGTTTTTATCCAGTTTGCCTTTCTCACTAGCTAAAAAAATTAAGACAGATTTGAATTTGTTAAAGACCTATAAGTCAGAAATTTTCAGTGAAGCTCAAAGCATTCTTCATGTAGTAAAGACAAAGAACCACTTGCCTATTGCTTTATCTTACTTGGTTTCTTTTTTCTTTTGTAAGATGCTGCTGCTATCTACTTCTCAAGACTATGGTCTTTTTATGTTTCACTCACACTTACTTATACCAGATAGTAATATCCTGCTAAGCATCCTTTGCCCAAAAATGTACTATATGAGCATAGTTGTAAGTATCTCCATGCATTTTAGGACTGCTGAACATGATATTTATTTGAACATATTTATTTTGCTGGGCTTAGGTTTTAATATAAAACAATCTTTTTTTTGAGTTGGGGTCTCACTCTGTCACCCAAACTAGACTGCACAATCATGACTTACTGTAGCCTTGACCTCTTGGGCTCAGGTGAGCCTCCTGCCTCAACTTCCCAGCTTGGCACTACAGCTATGTGCTACCATGCTTAATTTTTTGGTTAGTTGGAGAGACGAGGTCTTGCTATGTTGTCCAGGCTGGTTTCGAACTGCTGGGCTCAAGCAGTCCTCCTGCCTCAGCCTTTCAAAGTGTTGCCCAGACTAGTCTCACACTCCTGGGCTCAAGCAATCCTCCTGCCCTGGCCTTGCAAAGTGCTGGGATTATAGGCGTAAACCACCGCACCCGGCCTAAAGCAACTTTTCCTAAATTACCACTTGGTTTGATCATAGACCTTTCTTTCAGTCTTCAACACTGGTATATGTCTGTCTACATTTTCTGAATATTAGCCCACACTGCTTAAGTCACTGATTTACATGGTTTCCTCCTTTTCCAAGAGCTCTCCACTCTTTTGCCTGATGTTGCTTCTGCCTGATGTTGCTGTGAAAGCCTCACTATCCCCAAGAGCAGGAAATCAAGCAATGTTTCATTTTCAGCACTCAGAATAAAGTGCTTAAAATTGCTTATCAAATACTGATAAACATCTGTGTGTACCAGTATTGAACTTTAAGCAAGAAGGGGAGGCATTTAAAGCCCCTAGGAGAAATGACCATCATACCAACTTGTTACCATGAAGTCAATAATTGAAGAGAAAGAGGCATTCACCGCCCTTTTATGGAGGAATAATGGGCCATCTTTGTTGATAAGGGAAAGTTCTTTAAAGAACAATGCCTGCTAATTAACAAAGAGGGAACAACATAGAAAACTACTTTCTGCAACTTCCAGTGAAATCATCTATTCAGGTTAGGCTCATCAGTAGGTGCTAAAACCAAGGTGAAATTTCACATTTTTACATTGTATATATCTAGTAGTCTCCACCTTAACCAAGCATCAAATTCACTATTGTTCTTAGGTGACCTGGTATTTGGTGCTTCCTGGCAAGGTCCGTGTGATGTACATGCAGCACTTGTGTGGTGCTCCTGCCAGAAACATTTCCCTTGAGTGTAACCCAGACCTTCACACCCAACTCTAATTTATAGGTGGAGGAATAAAACAAAACCATGAGGAAAAAGACAAAAGGGATATTCTATAATTAACTAGCCTACTGTCATCAAATAGATGTCAATGGGAAAACGAAAATGAGGATCCTATTCTAGGTTAAAAGAGGAGACATAACCAAATACAATGTGCAACACTTGGTTGGTTTCTAAATTGGGGATAGGGCAGTTATAAACATATTGTTTTAGAGTAACCGAGTAAATCTGAATCTATACTGGATAGATTTTAGGAGAATTGCTATTAATTTTTTTGGGTGTGATAATGGTTATGTAAGAGAATATTTCTTTTGTTAGGGATTGTGTGCTGAATTATTTAAGGTTAAAGAAGACCAGACATGGTGGCTCCTACTTGTAATTCCAGCACTTTGGGAGGCCAAGGCAGGGAAGATTGCTTGAGGCCAGCCTGGGCAACATAGCGAAGGCCGTCTCTACAAAAAATTTTTTAAAAAAAGAGGCATATCACATTCAACTTGCTTTGAAATGGTTGTTAAAAAAGTATGTATATGTACACACAAACACACATGTATATGGATTAAGTAAAGACGGCAAAATCTTTTAAAAATATTAAAGCTAGTTAGTGGGTATATAGTTGTTTATAGTTTGAACATTTTCATAATGAAAGGTAAAAAAAAAACATCATAATCAACCAATGGTTGGTCCAGGAATGCCTTAATGGAATACAGAATATTGGTCCAGGCTGGAAAACAGACCATTCTGGGTTTTCAAACAAAGGAAACTGAATACAAAGATCTTGGTTACTCTGATCTTAGAAGAGCTCAGATACAAAGCAGCATGGTGAGGCAACCAGAGATACCCAATAGCAGCTTTCACTTTGGGGCTGACAAATTAATGAAGTTGTTATTGGGACTCAATGGCCAGGGCCCTTCAGGCAGGAGCTGTCCCCAGAAGAGATTCATCAGCTGCCAGAGATGCTGCCCTGTGTAGAGTGAAAGGGAGAAAAATGCCAATCCTTTCTCTCATGCCCTCCCAATTTGCCAAAACTATACAAGGGAGTCCAGGACAGGTGCCTTGCAGAAGCCAGCACCCTTGTGCAGAGCAGCAACAGGCAAAGATCGATCTGAAAGCACATAGACAGATGGCCAGCATGGTCTACCCTGTTGGCCGCTCAGCATTTGTTATCACCTTTCTATCCACATTTAATTAACAGTTGTAACTTAATGTATCTGCCTGATGGGAGGCAAATACTCTTCATAAGAAAGATGCTCTGGACCTTTCCTCAAGACATGCAAGGTGTTTTACCTCAGTAGTCTAGGTGCTCTAAGTAAGACACAGACTTCTCCAGGATGGGTCACCCTTTTGTGGTTTGGTGACTTGCAAACTAGTTTGTAAAGTTAACACACCAATAACGCCACACAGAATTGGAGGGGAGTTGGAAGAGGGAAATGATCAGTGCATGTGTTGAAGTAAAAAAGGCTACAGTTCTTGTTTTTTGTAACTCATCACAAGGCTCTAGTTGATATTACCTTCTCCTTCCATCACCTAGTCCTTGTGATTTGAGACCTTAATGGTCTTGCCTTTAGAGGATTCTTTTTTTTCTTTCACCATTGATCCTGAAATTATTGAGTACCAAGAGGGGCCTGTGAAGACACCAGATTGCAGATAGAGATGTTTCTGTCCTCATTATATCCAAGCAGCCTGATTTCCCCTTGTAAATTGGGATCAATAGCACTAGTTAGTAGCGTAACTCCTCTCCCTGAGTGTTGGTTCAGACAGCAGTCTCAACTGCTAGTTCAAAGGAACCGTTGCCATATCTGGTGGAAGTACTCCTCCCTTGGGACAGTAGTATCTAAAGTGTTAGGATGGGAAGCAAAAATCCCTTCAGGGGTTATGTTGTGTAACAGTAAGAGGGGTCACTCCTGTCTTCAACCCTTAGGTTTCCAGGCCAGTGTATTCTGACTGTGAGACAAATGCCACCATGTATTGTTCAAAGCTTGTATCACATCCTGTTTTATAGCATTCCACACTGACTGGGTACTGTCTTTAATCTGGCATCATAACTGAGCCTTCAGTAGGCCTTCCCAACATCCATTAGATGAACTATTTCCAGGTGACAGGATTTTAGGGTAAGATCAGGGCACCCCATGGACATAGGCCTAGTGCCACAGTATCTGCGAAAAGAGTTTCTTAGTTAGAAGCAATAATGGTGAATAAGGAATTTGGGAAGTCCACAAATAAATTTTGGGTGGGGAAAAAAATCCATATTAGGAATAGAAGTGTACAGATGCAGGGGGACAAGAAAGCTGGAGAACTGCATGAGCCTAAGCCACCTGTTCATACTATTACTATGGCTTCCCTTACCTACTTGAGTCTTGTCTCATGACTTATCATTTTCCAACACCATTCTTTGATACCAGCTGGGTGTCCTACGGTCCAATCCTGACACTACAGTGGAGTTAGTGCAAACCCCATGAGCTAAGAACTCAGTCCCACAAAATAGTCCCTACTTCAGACTTTGGCCACAAGTGGGGTTTCCAAACTACCCACCATTTTGTACAGCTAAACTGTGTGTGTATTTGGTGGTGAGTGTGAGGGTAGTTCCTACCCTTCATAGGTTTAATTTGGTAGAGTGACTTTGAGATAATGCTATACTTGAGGTTGCCCTCGCCACCATTTTTCAAGGTCAACCCTGAGTAACACTATAATGTAGCTGCTATTTTCATTTCATTTTGAATTCACATACTGAGTCAACCCATCTCTATACCAGGCTCAAGATTTTTCCTCCTGTCATCTGGTTATAAGGGCTCCCACATATAGTCATAGGTATGAAATGACAGTGTTGCTCATAAAAAAGCAGTGGATGCCACGTGGGTCTGTGTTCTGCAGCTTGTTTGGCGTCCTCAGTATTCTCGTGCTCAGTCCTTTTTTTTTTTTTTTTTTTTTTTTTTGAGTCAAGGGGTCTCACTCTAACCTAGGCTGGAGTATATAGTAGCACAATCATGGCTCACTGCAACCTCAAACTCCTGGGCCTCCCAAGTAGCTGGGACTACAGGCACATACCACCGCACCCAGCTAATTTTTTTACTTTATTTATAGAGGTGAAGTCTCGCTATGTTGCCCCGGCCGGTCTTGAACTCCTGGGTTCTAGCAATAATCCTGCTTTGGCCTCCCAATGCTGGGATTTCAGGCATGAACTACCATGCCTGGCCTCATGCTCAGTCTTGAATGTACTACTTCCATAGTATGAGGGATCGTCACTGGGCCCAACTGACCTTATGACTTGGTAGTTTAGTACATAACGGACGTTTTTGGCTGCATGGTCACTTTGGGTCTTATGGTCAGGTATTCCAGCAGCACACCATAAGACAGATTCCCCGCCCCCCCACAAAAGACAAAGAATACTCTGCTCCAGGTGGCATGACAGAACCTCAGATTCCCACATTGTCAGTCTCCCACAGGGCATGCCAAGACTCTATACTGTGTCACTGAT